ACTGCCCTCCAGCCTGGGTGACAGAACGAGACCCTGTCTCTTAAAAAAAAAAATTAGTAAAACAAAAATCACAACATGCACATCAAGGCATTGAGAAAGAGGACAGGAGTCTTTCAACACCCAGATGGCAATTTAACATCCTTATTCACCTGCCTGGGTCAGCTCGAAGTGCCCCTGAATGGGTAGCTTTGGATGTAATAACTAGAGCAGTGTTCAGGCCTCCAAGGGTACAACAGGACATCAGCCCCAAGAATCTGGGGATGTTTGCCCACCTCGTTCACTCCAGAACCTTCAGCTCTTAGAACAGGGCCTAGTGCAAAGTAATCCACAGTAAACATTTGTGGAATGAATGAATGATACGTATGACTCAGAAACTGAAGTGGGGGTTTCCAGTCTTTTTAGAGATCGTCAACTCAATGAGTTTGACTAGAGTTATTTCTAAGAGAAATGTAACAGCACAGAGAGCACATCTGCCACCAGCCACACCCATGCCATGGACGCAGCGAGCAGGAATGACATCTATCCCGCCCCACGCAGGCAGTGGTTAGACACCAATTATACAGCATCCTATGAGAAATAAACTTCTGCAGGCACTAATCCACTACAAATTACTTCTCATCGCACTTCACTTCATTTCCTCCTTTTCGAAGGTGTTTTTTAAAAGCATAAAAATGAACGCTTATGATGCCAAACAACATGAAGAATCCCTTCCTGGAATTCACAGCTTTGTGTACTTAGCGCACCTCCAAGCTACCTGGGGCCAGCATGGTCAACGACACACGTGTCCACACGAGGGCCCGGCGGGTCCAAGCACCTACTGTCTATCTGGCGCACCTTGAGGCAGGTGTTTGAACTCTGAGCACTCTGTGGGCTGAGGGAGCCAGGGCAAAGCAGGCATCCCTGGCAGCTGACATGGACCCCAGACGACCACATGCTACTCTGAGGGAGGAGATACCCATTTTCACACTTGAACTTGATTCTGAGTCCAGAGCTGCACAGGACCAGAGCAGACGGTGGCTGTGGCTTTCTACAACCAGCTGGGGCCTCCAGCACCTATGGAAGGAATCAAGGGCAAGCCTGGAGCCCTGCTGCCAGAGGCGGCTCAAGTTAGGAGATAGGCAGGAACCTGCAGTGACCCACAGCACAATTCCTGTGTAAATGTATTCCCTGTGGGCAAAGGAAGGTATGATGGGAAGAAAACAAAAGAAGGTGTGCTGTCTGTGACGTCTCTTCCCCAGGAGTCAGTTGAGATGGTGAGGCTCTATCCTTAACACAATGTCTCCATCTAGTGTCACATACTCTACAGGGACAACAGGCCTTATTTTCCAAATCAGATTCAATTTTGTTTTAAATCTAGTTCTTAATTTTCACAATTACGAAGGTGAAAATTATAAAGATGGATCCAAAAACATGAATTACTCTACTTTCTCATCATTGTTAAATCAAAATTTTACAACTAAGCTTAGAGGCAGAAACCACCAACATTAATTCAAATACTACATTCAATTATATATTAAGGTACTGATTTCAGGGCTGGGTGTGGTAGCTCATGCCTGTAATCCCAGCACTTTGATAGGCTGAGGCAGGTGGATCACCTGAGGTCAGGAGGTCGAGATCAGCCCGGCCAACACACGGAAACCCTGTCTCTACTAAAAATACAAAAAATTAGCCAGGCATGGTGGTGCACGCCTGTAATCCCAGCTACTTGGGAGGCTGAGGCATGAGAATCACTTGAACCCAGGAGGTGGAGGTTGTAGTGAGCCCAAATGACACCACTGCACTACAGCCTGGGCAACAGAGCAAGACTCTGTCTCAAATATATATAAATAGATAGATAGAAAGATATGTTGATATTTTATATGTATATATATTTATATGTATTATATATATTTATATAAATATATTATATATATTTATATAAATATATATATTATATGTATTATATGTATTTATATATTATATTTCAGGCTGGGCACAGTGGCTTGTACCTGTAATCTGTAATCACAGCACTTTGGGAGCTAGATCACTTGAGGTCAAGAGTTCAAGACCAGGCTGGGCGCAGTGGCTCATGCCTGTAATCCCAGCACTTTGGGAGACCAAGGCAGGTGGATCACGAGGTTAAGAGATCGAGACCATCCTGGCCAATTTGGTGAAACCTTGTCTCTACTAAAAATACAAAACTTAGCTGGGCATGGCGGTGCGTGCCTGTAGTCCCAGCTACTCAGGAGGCTGAGGCAGGAGAATTGCTTGAACCCAGGAGGTGGAGACTGCAGTGAGCTGAGATTGTGCCGCTGCACTCCAGCCTGGTGACAGTGCAAAAACTCTGTCTCAAAAAAAAAAAAACTTTGCTGGGCGCGGTGGCTCACACCTATAATCCCAGCACTTTGGGAGGCCGAGGCGGGTGGATCATGAGGTCAAGAGATCGAGACCATCTTGGTCAGCAAGGTGAAATCCCATCTCTACTAAAAATACAAAAATTAGCCGGGCGTGGTGGTGCACACCTGTAGTCCCAGCTACTCGGGAGGCTGAGGCAAGAGAATTGCTTGAACCCAGGAGGCGGAGGTTGCGGTGAGCTGAGATTGTGCTATTGCACTCCAGTCTGGGTAACAACAGCGAAACTACGTCTCAAAAAAAAAAAAAAAAAAAAAAGAGTCCAAGACCAGCCAAGCCAAGATGGTGAAACCCCATCTCTACTAAAAATACAAGAATTAGCTGAGCATGGTGGCGCATGCCTGTAATCCCAGCTACTCAGGAGGCTGAGGCAGGAGAATCGCTTGAACCTGGGAGGTTGCAGTGAGCTGAGATTGCACCACTGCACTCCAGCCTGGGTGACAGAGTGAGTGAGCTCCATCTCAAAAATACATAGCTAGATGCAGATATAGATAGATAGACAGACAGACAGGTTTCAAAGGGTTCCAGATGAACAAAGTGACATAAAAATGTCTCCAATAACAAAACACATTTGCCTTAGTCTATCCTGATAGTACCCCCCTGAGAGACTCCCCTGGTGCCATCTGCACCTGTCCTTGCTACTGGAGGGTACCCGGGCTGCCAGCATCCAGGCCTTGGCTCAGTTAGCCCGGGGCTGACGGGAAGCACCTCCACAGCCTTTGGGCAGTTACACAACAAAACTCCTGCTCGGCCGGGCACGGTGGCTCAAGCCTGTAATCCCAGCACTTTGGGAGGCCGAGGCGGGTGGATCACAAGGTCAAGAGATCAAGACCATCCTGGACAACATGGTGAAACCCTGTCTCTACTAAAAATACAAAAATTAGCTGGGCATGGTGGCGTGTGCCTGTAATCCCAGCTACTCAGGAGGCAGAGGCAGGAGAATTGCCTGAACCCAGGAGGCGGAGGTTGCGGCGAGCCGAGATCGTGCCATTGCACTCCAGCCTGGGCAACAAGAGCGAAACTCCGTCTCAAAAAAAAAAACAAAACAAAAAACAAAACAAAAAAAAACTCCTGCTCATTCTGCAGCCACACCACACACCCGACTCCCTGAGGGCACAGGGCTTCCCACTGGGGCCCTCCGCTGGTGAACTGCGCTACACTGGATGTGACACGGAAGGGAAGCATCACGTGGCCTGTGATGCTACAGATGAATACATCTAGTAATAACACTTAGAATGAAAAATTCAGAAAATTATAACACAGTTGTCTTTTCAAGTCAAAACCAACTAAAATTCCGCAATGTACCTCTTGGGGGACACAGAAACCTTTGTTTAGGAGGCCAGGGAACAGGAAGCAGGAGCTTCGGAAATGTCGTGGCTTCAGGCCACCGGGCAGGGGGATGGGACGTGGGAGAGGTCACAGGTGGTTGGAAGTGACTGTTGGTGTTTTCATGACCACCCTGAGCAGGTTTGCGGGTGTTTACCATCACCCGTTTCAAGTCATTCATTCCGATTAAAATGCAATGAAAGAAGTCTATGCAGGAACCAGAGCTGAGTGTGGACTGTGAAGCAAGGACCACGGCGCACCCAGTGACACTCGCGGGGCCACAGATCGAAGGGAGGGAGTCAAAGAAAAGCGTTCGTCTGTGTAGTCAGGGGAGTCGGTTCTCCTTTCTCTGCCTCCCTTCTTCACAAGCTTAGCATGGCTGATGCCAGGTTACTCTTCCTTCACTCAACCACGTCTCACAGCAAGACTTTAGCTGAGAAGACTGATGCTGGGTTTGCAAAGCAAGTCCTGCCGACAGCGTCCCAGCTCTGACCTCTCCCTTCTCACCCCGACCTCCCAGGCTCACCTCGTCACCTGGAGGATCATGTCTTATTCCTAAGTCTCTTGGCTTATACTCGAACGTCAGCAAACTTGCACTGTATCTATTAGTTATTAATAATAGATTTCTAAGGCCGGATGTGGGTGGCTCACGCCTGTAATCCCAGCACTTTGGGAGGCCGAGGCGGGTGGATCACCTGAGGTCGGGAGTTCGAGACCAGCCTAACCAACATCAAGAAACCGTCTGTACTAAAAATACAAAATTTGCCAGGCATGATGACGCATGTCTGTAATCCCAGCTACTTGGGAGACTGAGGCAGGAGAATTCCTTGAACCCGGGATGTGGAAGTTGCAGTGAGCAGAGACCACACCACTGCACTCCAGCCTGCACAACAAGAGCGAAACGCCGTCTCAAAAAAATAAATACAATAAAAATAATAGATTTCGATTAAAGTAGAAAATAAGTGTATGTCTCTTTCCACAGATGAGCAAAACAGGTAACAGTTTACAAAATAATTCGTAGTTTTAAAAAGACATTGATGCATTTTCTTCTAAAACCTAAATATATTTTAATAGTATCCAAATCTTTCGTCTACTGTTAACTTTTAAATTGAGGTATTCATCAGTAATTTCTGTAAACTAAAATAACTATAAGCCTGAAAATATTAATATAATAGGCCTCTGGGGGAAAAAAACGCTTTTCTAAGACAAAGATACTAACGTGTTCCCTTTAGCTACTGAAACTAAATTTCCGAATTACTAATACGCTGTATATAGGTACGTACTCCACCAAGCATGCTACATCCCAGCGCCAAGAATTTCATCCACTCGATTTTGTTATCACAAGGATCCAGCTGTAAGAGCGCTTTGAACTTTTCCTTCGGCAGGCACAAATTCTTCCACTTCTGCTCCAGATCGCTTAGTCCCACGTATTTCTTGTGGTGGCACTGTTTAGAAGACACAGAATGACACAGTGTAGGTACGTTTTAAAACCTGGGAAGCAATCGAACGCTCATGAATACTTCAGCATACACCAAGTAACCCACCCCATGCCGTTGAAAGATGAACTCCAAACTCATGGCAGTGGGTTGCGTCGGCCCCGGGGAGCGGGGCGGAGACGGTGGCGAGCGGCAACCTTTTATTTCTTAAATGAAAAAAGGACGGTGAAGCGGATACGGCATCGTGCCATGACTTAATGAAATAGGCATAGAGATACTGGGTATATGATACTCTACTGTCTGAAATGCTTCACAATAAAAAATAAACCTCAGTAAGTAAAAACGCTTCAGAAATACAGCCCCTAAACACATTAACAGTTAGATAGGATAAATCTTAAAACTGAAAATAAATGTATTCCTTCTTTTTTTTTTTTTTTTGAGACAGTCTCATTCTGTTGCCTGGGCTGGGCTGGAGTGCAATGGTGCAATCTAGGCTCACTGCAATATCCACCTCCCAAGATTAAGCAATTCTCCCACCTCAGCCTCCTGAGTCGCTGGGATTACAGTGGCTCAGCATCACACCCTGCTAAGTTTTGTATTTTTATTGAAGACAAAGTTTCACCTTGTTGGCCAGGCTGGTCTTGAACTCCTTGCCTCAAGTGATCTGCCCGCCTCGGCCTCCCAAAGTGCTGGGATTACAGGTGTGAACCACCGCGCCCAGCCTTCCTTCTATTTTAAACAATCTATCGAGACTGATAACTTCTGCCTCTGCTAGTGGTATCTTGGGTGAAAAGGCTTTGAGTGATTTCAGCGTGTCTTTTCCCAAGCGACACCATTCAAAAGTTATTTGTTTCCCTTAAGGTAGCCATGGAAAAGTCATGGTTTTGAAATTCAGCGTATCCTGTGCAAAAGCACAGCACTTCACAACGTAGAATGGGGACAAGTCAGTCTGAAAATCAAGGTTATGCCACTGGTGTCGCTTTTAGCAAAAGAACCAAGTCATGAGGTATGCCAAGCCTTGCTCCGTTACCCACGTCTCTAAACACAGGATGATGTGTGGGGCCAAGGGCAACGCAGGAAGGGGGCCCAGGCTCTCCACAGAGCTGGACACCAGAGGCCGCTGCCCACCGCGGCGCCAAAGGGCAGCCCTGCCTTTCGGATGGAGAAGGCAGAGGCTCACTCAGGCGCACACACGGCTTTCACAAATACACACCTGGAGAACAGACTGGAAACCCTTCAGGTTCTGGAAATGTGTATTTTTTGCCTAGCAGAATCTAGTGTCATCTAAACTTTGTATTTAAAAGAATTATATTTCGCTTTTCTAAAATCCACCCCTGGACAGTTACTTTGGGTTAAGCTAGAAAAAGACCTCCTGAAGACAATGCATTTCTTCCTTGAATAAACCTTGATGATGCGTGGCAGAGAAAGCAGGGCTTCAGGGACCTCCGGAGGTTTTGAAATGCACCACTGGGGTGGGTCCCGCTCCGTGATCATGCACAGTGAACGGTAAGGAAAACGCAGGCCAGCTGCCCGAGGCCGCACACCCGCTCGTACCTGCTTGTGCAAAACTTTAAGGAGTCCCTGCGTCAGGCCCGTGTCTGTTTTCTGTGTTGCCATGGGCATTTCCATCCTTTCCTTTACAGGAAGTGGGTCTCCTCTCGACAAGGCTGTAAAATATCTAATAAATAACAGACATCTCTGAAAGCTCACCAATACACAAACAGCAGCTATGCAATGCATTTCTTAAATAACCCCTGAAAACAACGGTGATGAGGAAGGCCCAGCATCCCGGGCTTGAGTCCTGGCTCCTCCACTTAGCTCTCTGACTTAACCTTCCCCGCATACCTTAGTTTCTCTGCGGGCCAAGCAGATAATGAGAGTGCCTGTTGGCGGGTCCAGGAGCACTGTGTGTGTGAGCAGGGCTTGGCGCAGTGGCTGCCACTCGCTCCTTCAGCGTGTGTTATTCTTCCCCAGCCCCCAACCCCTTGCCGTACTTCACAATCAGCTGGAACTCCATGTACGGTTATTTTTTTTCCTCCTAAATTTTTTGAGACAGGGTCTCACTCTGTCACCCAGGCTGGAGTGCAGTGGTATAATCACGGCTCACTGCAAGCCTCGACCTCCCAGCCTCAAGGGATCCTCCCGCCCAAGCCTCCTGAGTGGCTGGGACTACAGGCACACACCACCACACCTGGCTAATCTTTTTCATTATTTCTAGTAGAGCTGGGGTCTTACTCTATTGCCCATGCTGTCTGGAGCTCAAGGGATCCTCACGGCTTGGCCTCCCACAGTGCTAGGATTGTAGGCGTGAGCCACTGTGCCCAGCCAGCATCCCACACAGGTGGGTTTGGTCTTGCTGCTTTTTGAGGTGCTTAACTTTAAGTGTCTCTGCATATTCAACTTTGAGGCAGCCTGGGAACACAGAGGCCACCTATTTCCACACTGTGGAATGACAGTGCTGGTCTGTCCCACCCTTCCACTGTCCCTGCCTGGCATTTGTCCCCTTAATTGTTCCTTTCTGGGACACTGATATTGCTGCTGATGCTGGGGACAGAGTGGGGAACTGTCAGGGAAGTAAGTCAAGAGGGAACCCACATCCAGCCTCCGGCTCGTGCTGACATGGGTGCCAGGCAAGACCTTCTGAGAAACCCACGCCCCTTGGTATCTTTGCCAGAGGTGTTGATACTGAAGCCACCTCCTTTGGGGTCCTAATGACTTTAGCCTGATGAAAAGAGACAGCATGTCCAGGAAAATGAACATGAAAGCATCCGCCAGGGCCACAGGTCAGAGTTTAAAGCCATGAGTAGTTAGAAACTTCTCATACAGATAAATATGGGTAAGTCGATATTTGATAGACTAAAATGAACTTCCTATCTCATCCTTTCTCTTTTTGTTGTTTTTTTGTTTGTTTGTTTTTTGGGTTTTTTTGTTTTACAAAGATGGGGTTTCACCATGTTGGCCAGGCTGGTCTTGAAGTCCTGACCTCAGGTGATCCACCCACCTCGGCCTCCCGAGGATTACAGGCGCGGATTACAGGCGCGAGCCACGGCGCCTGGCTCATCCTTTCTCTGTATGTCCTTCCAATCTGACTTTCTTTTCTTCTTGTAAGACAACTTCAGCTCCATTTTGTGGCTTTGTTGATGATTTGAAGGAAAGTTAAAATGATGGCGGCAGTGAGTGAGACAAACGTGGCTCTAAAGACCTAAAGCAGGCATTCCCAAACTTTTTACACAGGGGGCCAGTTCACTGTCCCTCAGACCGTAGGAGGGCTGCCACATACTGTGCTCCTCTCACTGACCACCAATGAAAGAGGTGTCCCTTCCTGAAGTGCGGCGGGGGGCCGGATAAATGGCCTCAGGGGGCCACATGTGGCCCGCGGGCTGTAGTTTGGGGACGCCTGACCTAAAGGGTGCAGGTGAAGAACGGGCACCTAGCCACATTCCTACTAATCAAGGTTTGCATCTATTTTGTGGGAGTAATTCCTCATAACTCAGGTAAGGAACCCAGGCTTGATGCAGCCTCTGGAGGCAGGGCTCTCAGTGGGGGACAATGCTCCCCCTCTTCCTCCCTCACCAAGGCATTTGGCAATTTCTGGAGACTTTTTTTTTTTTTTCTTATGAGACACAGTCTTGCTCTGTGGCCCAGGCTGGAGTGCAGTGGCGCCATCTCGGCTCATTGCAACCTCCACTTCCTGGGTTCAAGCGATTCTCTGGCCTCAGCCTCCTGAGTAGCTGGGATTACACATGTGCACCACCAAGCCCAGCTAATTTTTTGTATTTTAGTAGAGACAGGGTTTCACCATGTTGCCCCCAGGGTCATCTCAAACTCCTGAGCTCAGACAATCCACCCACCTCAGCCTCCCAAAGTGCTGGGATTACAGGCGTGAGCCACTGTGCCCAGCCTGGAGACATTTTTGATTGTCACAACAGAGGGTGGATGGTACTCCAGGCATCCGGCGGGTGCAGGCCAGGAGGCTGCTGAGTCCCACCATGCACAGGACGCTCCTTCCTCCTGTGCCCTTCCCAATGGTCAGCAGAGCCGAGGCTGGGAAAATCTGCTTTTGAGGCAAGACCAACTAATATTACTCTCTGCCAGTTCCCAGAGGTGCATGCGAGCCAAAGAGCCTCTACTACTTGACTGATTCTTGCGTTCGTTGTCCTGTGTGAGGCACAACCGTGCATGCAATGGTATCATAGGAACAGCCAACTCCCCTCACGGTGGAGTCCACAGGCTAGGCAGGAGGCTGGCTCATCTTTGATATCTGGCCACCTGCAAAGCTCCTTTGCAAAGAACCCTAACCTGAGGAAACAGGAATGCCTACTTGTTTGCTCTTTTTCTTTTTTTCCCTTTTTTAGACAGGCTCTTGCTATGTCACCCCAGCTGGGGTACAGTATTGTGAACAGGGCTCACTGAAGCCTCCAACTCCTGGGCTCAAGCAATCCTCCTGCCTCAGCCTCCTGAATAGCTGGGACTACAGGCACGTACCACCACAGCCAGCTCATTTTATTTTTAGTACAGACAAGGTCTTGCAATGTTGCACAGGCTGGTCTCAAACTCCTGAGCTAAAGCAATCTGCCCACCTCGTCCTCCCAAAATGTAGGGATTACGGGCATGAGCCACGCGCTCAGCCCACTTGCTTATTCTTGGGACTATAGGCATGTACCACCACAGCCAGCTCACTTTTAGTACAGACAAGGTCTTGTAATGTTGCCCAGGCTGGTTTCGAACTCCTGAGCTCAAGCAATCTGTCCACCTTGTCCTCCCAAAAATGCAGGGATTACAGGCTTGAGCCATACACTCGGCCCACTAGCTTGTTCTAAAGCAGTTATATCTGTGGGTATACTGGTTTCCTGTTTCGGTTTTAATGGGTTTTCTTCTTCCTGTCTCCGCCCCCTTCTCCCTGTGCTGCTTCCTCTTCCTGGAGTGCTCTCCACCCCACCTGAACTCCAATCTCTGTGCCCACAAAATCTCTCAAGGACCAAGTCACTCTTCGCTTAACTTTCATGACCCTTCATTTTTGCACTTACCAAGTCCCACCTTGAGTTACTTATGAACAGCTCTCCCTAACAGATTACGTCCTGTGGCAGCTGAAATGCATTTGAGCCTATTACATACAGACTGCGGAATGAGTAACGCCTGGGTTTTCTCCTAAACTCAAAAATTGATCTTGGCCAGCCAACATGGCTCAAGCCTGTCATCCCAGCACTTTGGGAGGCCAAGGCTGGAGGATCAAGGTCATGAGTTCAAGACCAGCCTGGTTAACATGGTGAAACCCCATCTGTACTAAAAATACAAAAATTAGCCAGATGTGGTGGCAAGCACCTATAATCCCAGTTACTCAGGAGGCTGAAGCAGGAAAATCGCTTGAACCCAGAAGGTGGAGGTTGCAATGAGCTGTGATCTCGTTATTGTACTCCAGCCTGGGCAATGAGTGAAGCTTCATCTCAAAATAAATAAATAAATAGATAAACAAACAAACGAAGTGAAGCTTAAAACAACTGTCTCTAAGCTATTACTAAATACAATTTAATGTTCCAAGAAAAAGTTCATAAATCTTGGAATTTTTTTGTAGACACAAACTCTTATAAATCCTTTTATTTAAGCTTGAATAACAGTTAAAACCAGAGGCTACATTTCTTTAGCAAGAACCTTAAAAGAGTCTTTCAGAAACAATTGATAAAAGGGTTTCTCAGAAGGCAAGCACTGGATGGAGAAGCAGCTCAGCTGGTAGGTAAAGTAACAGCCCCAATCGTATCCAGGTCCGAGTCCCTGGAACCTGGAAATGTTACTTTACATGGTAACAGGGATTTTGTAGATTGATTAAGGACCTTGGGTGGGAAAATTGCCCTGGACTATCTGGATGGGCACTGAATGCAATCACCCATGTTCTTGGATGAGGGAGGCAGAGGGAGATGTGAAGATGCTGGCCTCGAAAATGGAGGAAGGGGACATGAGCCAAGGAGTCTAAGGAATACAGCTCCAGAAGCCGGAAAAGGCAAGGAAATGAGCTGGGTTCTCCTGAGAGCCCAGCAAAGAGCAAAGCCCTGCCAATGTTGGGATTCACATGGGGTGGCTGGCAAAATATTAGGGAAGTTATATAGTCTCAAACTCTTTGGAAGGCTGAAAGGTTTTAATGACAATGGGCTGAAGGCAGTCAGTTCACACATTAGAGTATTAAGTGATAGAGTAAAAAGATTAGGATAATAAAATCTTCCCCAATTAAGTCCATGTACCCCACATTCCTTTGTCTCTACTCTGTTTATTCATGTAAACTCTGTGCTGGATGGTCCTCTCGGGGGAGGTTGAAGGGGGATTACCTGTTAATAGTGTTTATTCTGGGCTGGGAATCAAGACTTTTTATCATTTGTAAAACCTCGTTTAACCATGTTAATTATCCACAAGCATGTTGACTTAGAAGCTCTGTTATTAAATCTATAGTGAATAAATGCAAGGAGGAACAGGGAGTAGTGGTCGGTTGGCTGCAATCTCCCTCTGAGAGCAGCGAATGACCATTCCTAGTCCACTCGACACTGTATTGTGTGCGTGTGAGTGCATTCATTCACCAGGTCACTGAGTCAGGATCTGCAGGACAGACCTCCATAGGTGGTGACCAGTGTCTCATGCCACCTTGATTTTAACCTAGTGGAACTGATTTTGGACTTTTGGCCTCCAGAACTGCAAGAATGTATGTCTGTGTTTTCAGCTGTCAAGTTTTGTGGTGATTTGTTACAGCGGAAGGAAATTAATTCACCTTGGTTATAGAGTTTAGAGAAAGTCAGCAAAATTTGACCTTTTTTTCTTTTTAAATTATTTTTCTTATTAAAAAGAAACAGAGATGGGGTCTTCTATGTTGCCCAGGCTGATCTCAAACTCTTGGGCTCAAGCAATCCTCCCAGCTTGGCCTCCCAAAGTGCTGAGATTACAGGCGTGAGCCACCAAGCCTAGCCAAAATTTGACATGTTGATGACTAAAATATTTAAATTAAACTTACACCTATGTTGACTCTTGTCATCGTAAAAGTTTTTGTTTTACATGTGTTTATTGAAAAGGGGCAAAGAGCTGTCCTGTAAAACCAAGATTTATCTTAATGCCTCTAAGATCTGTTTACTTTTAACTATGAGATTATGAATGTGTATTCCTGGAAAGGGTTGGAATGTCTGTGGCAAAAAAACTATGAAGTTTCATTTGCTAGACAATTTACCCTGAGTACTCCTTGGATGATGACCGCAGTACGACCTCGGCCGTTCCAGTTCTAATAAATTTAACCAGCTCTGGGTGTGCACAGCTCTGAGAGGATTCTCTGCAGATGAGGAACTTAGCTAAAAGAGTCCTCTTTGTAAAATCATTTCACAAATAAAGTGACCGCAACCGTGTAATAGTAACATAATATAGACACTTCTTGCCCAATGCAATTGCTTTGTTAAGTTTTAGTCTATCTTCATAAACACCACTTTTTAACAATTGAGTTGACATTACTTTGTGGGTAAGTGAGCATTTTACAATAATTTCGGGTTTCATGGTCAATACATCGAAATGGTTCCTAGATAGACACTCAGGTACAGATGTCACCAATGCTAAGGGGAAAATTTTGCCCGATACTCTAAAGACGCTGAGTGCGCGTTGCGCTCCTGGTCCGGGAGAAGGGCTCTCTGGTTCTGTCTCGGACTCGCAGACCGGACCGCTCCCCGGGCGGAGGGCGCTTACCCCGCGGACCACTGCAGCACGTCGGCAGGCTGGGTGCGGATGGCAGCCTTGGTGAACTGCTTCAGGATGTCCGGCAGCTCCGGGGGAATGTGGATCTGCTGAGCGCAGAACATGGTGTCCGGAAGCGGCATCGCTCTCCGCAGACCAGACCAGGCTGGGGAATCGGGGCGCGCTGGCGGGAAGAAGGGCGGCCGTCGGCTCGGGCGCGGCGGAGCAGCTAGCAGCTCGGGACTCAGGGCTCGTGGCCCGGGCCGCCCGCCCTCCCGCTCCTGAGGTTGGGGCCGGCTTCCCGGGTGCTCTTACCGCTCCTACGCGGGTTTCTCGAGAAGTGAGGACCAACTGCCTCTCCAGCTGCACCCCAGACCCAGCAGCTCGCGAGCTCCGGCCGCCGCCGCTAGGGACGCGCTCGGTATCCAGGCAACCGGGACGCGCTCGGTATCCAGGCAACCGGGACGCGCGCAGGCCCCGCCCCCGGCACCCGCGCACGCGCACGCGGCCCCGAGCGAGGCGGAGCTGCCCGCGGCGGGATAGGGAGGTACTGGCGGGGTCCGGCTGGGAGCCCTCGCCGCTCGCCAGTGGTTCAGAGCCGCGAGAGCTGAGCGTCTCACCGAGGAAAGGGTCTTCGGATCTGTTTCCCACCGCCGAATGTGAGCGGCGAACTCACAAAGGACTCCTTCCTCCCCGTGCTCTGGCTACGTGAGGCTGAGGCGAGGGTACTCGGGCCTGCTAGGAGGGAAGCGGGTGAAGTGACGGGGCTGATCCCCCGCGCGGCGCGGGACCCGCCTGCGCCCGAGGCCACTTCTCCCGACGTCTCGGGCCTCGAACTTCCCACGTACCGTTCCCTTGCCTAAGCCGTCCCTTAGCGAATCTCAGTTCTTAAGTTAAAAAGCCACTTAGACAGTGGGCAGTTCCAGCTAAAACAATATTGTATTTAAGATAGGGTGGTTGAGCCAATGTGACCGGCTCTAGGAGAAAATAAGTCACATCTGTCAAAAGAGCTTCGAGTGGAAGGATGAGAGAAACCTCGAATTTGGTGGGTGCTGACCAAGGCACCATAACTTTGCTTTAGGGAGTGACCTGACTGGCTGCTGCAGTGACCTGACTGGCTGCTGCAGTTGCCGTTAACAGCCACCGTATGCGTGAGACCCCCAAACCCACCTCCTCCTGCTCACCTCCAAACAGGAAGATGGAGAAAACTACGGTGAGCTACTTCCAAGACGGGTCTTCAAGCCCTCTCTTCAATGAAACTGGGGAAGTTGCCCGATTTTGATCGTTTCTGTTGGGTCCAAAATACACATATAAACATTTCCAAATTAACAGCATTGGCAAAAACTGAAAATGTTTGTCAACAGGGAGTCTACGCCAGGCGTGGTGGCTCAGCCTGTGAATCCCAGCACTTTGGGAGGCCAAGGGGAGCGGATCGCCTGAGGTCAAGAGTTCTAGAACAGCCTGGCCAACATGATGAAATCCCCGTCTCTACAAAAATTAGCTGGGCATGGTGGCGCGTGCCTATAATCCCAGCTGCTTGAGAGGCTGTGGCAGAATAGCTTGAGCCCAGGAGGCGGAGGTTGCAGTGAGCAGAGACAACGCCACTGCACTCCAGCCTGGGCAACAGAGCAAGACTCTGTCTCAAAAAAAACAAAAAACAAAAAACAGGAATCTTACACACTATTGAGGATGTCAATTAGTACCTTTAGGGGGCAATTTGACACTATAAAATTCTTTCATGATTGTGCAATATTCTGGGAATTCATCCTACATAAATACAATAAAAAGTAATATGTACAAAAACCTTTACTATACCACATAATTAAATGGGATAATTGTCTTCTGTAAAACAAATCATGGCCTGGCCACACAGTGGTATGAAAAAAGACACCCATGATATATAAAGTGCCAAAAAGCATCTTGTCGAACAATCTGTGTAGTGTGACACCTTTACGGTGACAAATGATTCTGTGAATGTGTATCTGGAAGCATATAACTAAACTATAACAGCAGTTACCTATGGGAAATGAGACAGGGCTTTCAGGTTTTATTTTGGCCACATTATTTTGATTCTAAACTCATTATTTACTAACTTAGCAATACTATTGAGTACCAAATATTTGCTAGGGAAGTGTTCTGGAAATACAGTAATAATTCAGTTAAAAAAAAAATAAAATATTTGGAGCTTACATTCAAGTGGGTAAAATATGCAAATGTAAACAAAGGGAAACCATGTTTCAAAGTACAAAAGGGAGCAGGGAGTATAAAATATAGCAGCGAGATGAGACAGGAATTCCCCAGTAGCTGCAGCTTTCGATAAGCCTCAGTAAGAACGGCACTTCAGGAAAAATGAGGAGGCCTGAATGAACATTTGGGTATGGCAAATCAAATACCAAGTGCAAAGGCCCCAAGGCCCGACCTGTTTTGGAAGCAGGGGGGACGGAAGCAGGGTGAACACAGAGGTGATGGGTCACGGAAGGAAGGAAAGGGGTGCCCCGTGTTTTGCCCAGCTTTGAAGCCTATTGTGGACTTTGAGTGTGATGGTAGTCTACTGGAGTTCTGAGGATTGGTGTGATCTGACTTGGATCGCAAGCAGAACATTCTGGATTTTATGTTGAAAATGAATGGAAAAAAGGAGAGCAAAGGCAGAGGCAGCAAGCTTAGGAGAAACAGCAATTGAGACTTACGTAATCTAGATGCAAGTCATTTATCAGAAATGTTTTGCAAGTATTTTCTGCCATACTACAGCTTGTCTTTTTGTTCTCTTAATGGCATCTTTCAAAGAGAAGTTTTCCATTTTGATAAAGTACAAGTTAACAATTTTTCCTTCTTGGATTGTGCTTTTGGTGTTGGATCTAAGAAATCTTTGCCTAACCCAAGGCTGAACATGTTTTCCTTGTCTTCTAGAAATTATAGTTTTTGGGTTTTATATTTAGAACTACAATCCATTTCGACTTTAATCTTTGCATGTGTTAAGATCTGGATCAATTAATTTTTAATTTTGCATCAGATTACCCAATTATTCCAGCACCAGCTTTTCAAGACCTTTGCATCTTTGTCAAAAATCAGTTGTTCACATACATGCTGGGCTATTTCTGGACTCTATTCTGTTCCATCAGACCAACGCACAGCCAGCAGAAGGGACTGATCCCAAAAACCTATGAGTGAATGAATGGGGGTACTGGGTATGAAGTTTCTCTTCTTTAGGTGTGTCCTAAAGAAGAGTTACTGAACAAACAGAGAAGGAGAAAAACTCCAGCACTGCTACATATGTAAAGAAGTTTCAGAACAATAAACAATGTAAAATGAGGCAAAAAAAAAAAAAAAAAAAGGGCCTCCATGTAGCATTTACATATGGGTGGTTTCGGAGAAGAGTGTGAGTGAGTAGAACGAGATAGAAGAAGGCTCAAAGAGTAATGGCGGGGGGCTACGTACACAGAACAGTGACTATAGAAGTGGCCAGGCCATCTCTCCCGGGTGAATCTTTCTCTGTGTTCGCCATAGCATTTTATTCATACTTCTGTTATACAATCTTTTGCTCATGTTTCTGTTCCACTTTGAGCTCCTTGAAGGGAGACATCATACCTCATTCAACTATAGTACTAAGTACAGTGCTAGAAATAAAACGGACACCAAAATAAAAGCATTGGGGAGGAGGGGAATGTTACCTTCTCAGCCCAGTTCTCCTTTATCACTGTATGTTTGCAACAAGAGTGGCTGTGAACTGTGGTGTGGAAAGGGGAAATTGATGGCCACTTTCTGAATTTAACCATGCAATTTCCTTTGCTCAAAAATTTCAACTTCACAGACTAAGGATATGTATGATTCAAATAGCATTTCCTCTATCACCCCTGCATTTAAAGTAAATAATTTGGTTGGGGAAAAACAATCACGGAAAAATGTTGAACCTAGAAACAAAGAAAAATCACAAAGTCTGTTAAGCAAAAGGATCTCCTCAGGGCACTCAGAAGGAAAAAATCATGCAAATCTTTCCTTTTTCTCTGGGACATATGGTGAAGTATGTAAAATGGATTTGATTGGTTTTACTCTTAAGTATTCAGCTAAAAGACAACCTTAGCGAAATTCTTTCTGATCTCACAGACATGCAGAAGTGGGCAGTTATCTTGCCATCGCACAAAATGTGGGGCTTTCCTCTTCCCAGTGAGGAGAGTCTACAACCCAAGTTAGGGAGACTGGACGGAAGGGATGTGTTCTCTGCAACTATACATTTAAACTTATACATAAAGGGGAGGAGCCAGTCACATTTAACTGGAGTTATTTTTCTTTCCTACTATATTAAAAACATCTGGATTATCTATGTGGGCTAACAATGCATAGTTCTGCACTGCATAGTTCTGCATTCTTAAAGCAATTTTCAACAAGGCAAAAACAAACAAAAAAAAAACCTAACAACTAACATCCACTTTATTCAATTAGAAGGCAACATATGACCATCAGAATATATGTACATAAAATTGGCCTGGGTACCTAAGGTGTTTAATAGAAGATTAACTAAATGTTCTATCTAGCTTCTACAACAGTTATTCCTAGACCTTAGTCATTGTATTTTTTTAAGGTACTATGACACTTTCATGAGGCACTCGTACAAAACAGGAATGAAAACATACATATAGTGTCTTATCTTTACGTTGTATTAATGCCAAAGATATTGTCAGGAATTATTTTAAAGAAGCCCTTACTCATGATGGCTATTTTTAAAAATGGCATAGAGCAGTAACAGGCTGAAAATGTTTGATTGAGGGGACAAATTAAGTAAATATAAGACAGCTTAACCAAGAAAGTTAGCGAATCTCCACAAATGAGGCTTTTAATAATACTTCAGTGGTAAGACATTTTAGTTGTTTTTTTTCTTGATGGCTGAATAATTAACAACCTAAAGGAGTATTTTAAACATAATCTTTTAATTTTACAATGTAGAAAACTTCTCACATTAAGTAGAGAGCTTAGAATACTCAACCCTGAAAATGAAAAGAAGTAGCTAACTTGCCAAGTTTTAAAAGTGCCAGTGTTCTGTGGCACTACATTTTCCTGCATGTGTGCGTGTATTCACGCACATTCGCAAACGCAATACAATATAGAAATGTCCATTGTTTTGTTTTAAAAAGTCATCAGTTCAACCTAAATTCAAGAATTACACTTTAATAGTGGCATTTTGCCAATACAGAAATGACGTATCTTGGATCAAATCATTTGAAGGAAAGTTATTACTTAAGGGAAAGAAAATACACAAGAATCCACAAGAATAACAGTTACATTAAATGTTGAAATAAAAATTATTTTTGTTTACATCTGGAATTCAGATGGCCCATCTTCACTGTTTCTGCAGAGAACTAAGAGGGGGAAAAGAAAATCACCTAAATACATGGAGGTATTTTTTTAAGGCTAGCTATACACAAACTCCACATTGGTATTTTTATTCAGTCTTCATCTCAACTATTAAATAGTTTAAAAATCAAACATAATTTACTAATGAACAACTGCACACTTCATACTCTATGACCATTTGATAACCAGTACAACTAACCCCAAATGCTGATTTGTCCTCAATTTATAAATAGTAAAAATAAAACAAAAAGGTCTTTCCTAGTTAACTTTATTGAAGGTTGTTTTAAGCTAATATAAAATGAAGCAAAATTAGACTATAATTTAAAAAAAAATGTGAAGAAGGCAGCAATACTAGCATTTTCTGAACTAGAGGTTTTCAATATTTAAGACTCTTGATTAATATGAATAATAAAACCTGGATGCTGCCCAAGCAAATACTATGCCAGAAAATGCTTTCCCTATGAAAATACTTCTTTCATTGAAAACAACAGGATATAAAGTACAACTGAAAAACTAGGGGAGAATTCTTAAGTAAGACAATATAAATTACCTGCCAGTGAAAAGGAGGGCAAATTTTTTGGCCATTCATATTGTTCTTTTTACAAAACGTCTGATAGACTCATTTAAAATTCTGTAGGATTAAGAATTTTTAACCTTTTGAAGTACCTGCCTAGGATCTCTGTTAAAACAAGGTATGTTCCTCTAATGACTTTATACCAAGATCCACAAATTCTTTGAAGATTTAAAAAAAAAAAAATGAAATTTATCAAGTTGGCCAGGCATGGTGGCTCACGCCTGCTGTAATCCCAGCACTTTGGAAGGCCAAGGCAGGCAGATGGATTACTTGCAGTCAGGAGTTCAAGACCAGCCTGGTCAACATGGTAAAACCCCATCTCTACTAAAAATACTAAAATTAGCCAGGCATGGGGGTGTGCACCTCACCTGTAGTACCAGCTACTCAGGAGGCTGAGGCAGGAGAAATGCTTGAACCTGGGAGGCAAAGGTTGCAGTGAGCCAGAATCGTGCCACTGCATTCCAGCCTGAGCAACAGAGTGAGACTCCGTTATTTAAAAAAAAAAAAAAAAAAAAAAAAAAAAAAAAAAAAATTATATAAAAGCAAGTTATATACCCAATTCAATATTTCTCTCTCAAATAAAATAATTTACATTAGAAATACACCACGACAGGCAACGTTGCATTTTAAAATCCTCTTACATTTTTATAGGCCTAAATTTCTGAGTAAAGGTAGGGTAACAAAGACCTTACCTTCAAATGAGAGAAAGGGCTACTCCAAAGTGCCAAAGAGTGTTAACACTGAATCCTATGTCAAGCATTATTTCTGATACTGATGTTTTTAAAAATATATTTTAAAGTCATTACTTACCACTTAGGGGAAAAATTGCTGATGCATAAAACCACCAGAACACATTGCTCTGGATTTTGGTAGCTTATGTTTGGCTGACTTGCATATGTTAAAAATTCTCAGATTTTAGTTCATGGAGTTTAATACTATATGACAATTCTTTTACAGTTTCTGAAGACCTATGCTATATACTTCCTATGAGACCTTCTAATTTATCGTTCAAAAACAAATACTAAACTTACAATGTACCTCTAGCATTAAACACTTAGATCATGTACCCAACCATTCTATTTTTCTAAACTTCTAACTCGAAGCTTTGGTTATGAGGGAAAAAGTCTGTAAGGTTCAGTTCTCTGAGATTTTTCAAAAAGTGTCCAATGAAATAAATTCCTATGTTAAAAGGCCACCTCGGCCAAGCTTCCTCCTTCTGGACAAATAATGAATTGGTTTTGAAGTTTTATTCTGTAAACAAAAAGCTTTGGAAACTTTGGGATTTCCTGATGAAAAGCTCGAAGAAATGCACACATAATCCTCACCCAGTGAGGCAAGACCAAATGTTCTAATCAGTCTTCTCCAATGGCTGTCAATCTAAGACCACGACCACATCTATACTTCACAAGCATCTCAGAAGTCCTAAATCCAGTAAGATGCAGTACAGTTGGTGATGTCGTTCTGAAAGATCTATGACCTTGCATGACTTTTGGCCACTGCTACAAAAAAGAGATAGTTGTGTGTGGAAAAGGGGGGATGGTGGCGGGGGGAGGGGGTGGGTTGGGGAGCTACTGAAAATCTTTATTTGGACTTTTTTCTAAGTATAGACATGCCCCTAACAAGCACTGAAACCCAACTCCCAATGCTGATCACATCAGGAATATTAAATTACCAAATTAAAAATAATTTCCTCACCTAGCACAAGATACTATACAATATAACAAACACAGACACATGAAAAAATCAGGCAGTAGAAAATGTACAACAGCTTTGGTGTTATACAAAATAACCTCGACAAATGACTAACAGTGAAGCATAAAGTTCATGTTTTCTTACCACAGACACTCCACTGCTGATTTCTACTTGTTTCCTTTTACGTTCTTGGTAAGGTCTGAATAGCGAAGAAAGAATGAATGTACAGTTCCCTTAGTGAGAGCTGCTAGGAGCATCATGAACTGTGTTCCACAAGATGTCACTGAAGTCTTGCCTGTGCACTACTGCTCTGTGGCACATTTCCTGTCAAGATCACAGCAGGTCCAAAATAAAGTGACAACTAGATTTAATAAATTAATATACATTTTGTTTAAAGATGTACAATGCACATTCTGTTTAATCCAAGGTTTTAGGGTATCAAGGAACTTCTATTTACACATATACAAATCTCAGACAGCAGTAATGTCAGAAATGCAGGGAAGAGCAGCAGAGCCTTACACCACTGCTCTCTGAATGCTGAGAACAAAAGTCAAATACATTTAACTTAAAAACAACGCTGAGAGATCACTGGGAAAAATCTCCAAGGAGAGAAGTCCACAAAAAAGGACACGAAAGGAGAAGGTCAAGTTGCTGAGACAACCACTTTATTCTTGGGATGACTGTGGAGGTGGTGGAGATGAGCCTTGTTTGCCAGATTTCCGTTCGTAGTTCACAAGTCGTTGCCCCACAAGGTATCTAGGTTGCAAAAACAAAGTGGTTACTCTCTTCTATGAACTTACAGAGTAAAACATTCTTATGTCTTTTTTAATCTAACTCCTACTTAAAACCCGTCAATGGTTGGGTGAGCCAAAGAGAGTCATGAGTGAACACCTGTGTAAAGGCCGGCACATCTAGCTGGGTATGGGTTTGCAGGAAGCTGCAGGAGCAGCAAAGGCTGGAAAGCTTCCAATGCTGTGCAATGGAGGACATGATTCAGTCAGTGGTTTAGGGGGTTCTTATCAACTCAGACACTTGGAGACCAGGAGGAGTACAGTAAACTTATGCAGTGCATTTATCTGTTAAGGTTCAGATTTTATAAAACAACTTAATGGGCAGGTCTAAGGAGATGGACTGAAAACAAGACCATCAGAAACCTAGGAAACGGCTGGGCAAGGTGGCTCACACCTGTAATCCCAGCACTTTGGTAGGCCAAAGTAGGCAGATCACCTGAGATCAGGAGTTTGAGAGCAGCCTGGCCAACATGGTGAAACCTCATCTCTACTAAAAACACAAAAAATCAGCTGGGCATGTTGGCACCTGCCTGTAGTCCCAGCTACTAGTGAGGCTGAGACAGGAAAATGGCTTAAACCCAGGAAGTGGAGGTTGCAGTGAGCTGAGATTGCGCCATTGCACTCAAGCCTGGGTGACGGAGTGTGACTCCATCTCAAGGGGGGGAAAAAAAGGAAGAGACAAAAAGTAAAACCAGAAGCTCTTGTTACAAAAAAGGAAGGAGAAATCAAAGGACAGATTTCAGTGAAGTCAAAGGGAAGATGGCATGGCACTGAGTGTGAGTGATAGGAGGTAGGAGAACATGGTTCAACAACAGAATGGCAAGTGTTACGTATGTGATGAAAGGCAATGGCAAAGCCTGCAGGGCTGTAGAAACAAGGCAGATGCTACTGCGGTTGGAGCAACAGGGCTGGAGATCCTGCTCAAGGAGACAGACATCTCCAATGCCAGGGAAGGGCGGCAGCTGCATAGAAGGCTCACTGAGAGGCTGCCTGACTTAATGTGAGCAGATGGCTTACAGGTTGACCCCCAGAAAACAGCAGTGACAAAGCTGGATGGCAACAAACTGTAGGTGGCTGGGCACAAGTGTTAAGGGCACTCATTTGGAGGCAGGGATATAGATCAAGGAGAATGTCCAGTAAAAGCCCCCAGAGTTGTTAAGGAGACTGAGGGAAAGCAAAGCCTGCACATGACAGGCTGCCAGGGAGCTTTCCTCCAACCCCTTCTTTCATTTAATCATCAGTGAAACGGGACTGATAGTCCCATGCTGCAGTGTTGTTTTAAGAAAGGGAAAGTGTATGAAACCCGGCAACAAAGGCTTAGCATGTTTTAAGGGGTCACTGTGGAATTCTTACTTTTCACCATTACCTTCTCCACTCTGACTTTCATCTATCGCTTTTCTGTAAATGTACACAAGCCTATGGAAATATTTTGGCAGTTTATGTACAGTACCTTAATATGCCACATTTTAAAAAGTATGGAAATCTCAGTGCTTCTTTATCTATAATGTCACTGTTTTATTCCTTTTCTTTTGTCTTACCTTCTTTCCTTAGTTAGCCATTACTTAACCCACTGTTCCCCAACCAACCAGTTTTTTTTTTTAAACGTTGAGGATTTTGTAAATGTTTAAAACAGTGAAGGCTGAGCAGTATCTAGTAAAATATATACAGCACTGCGTGGTACACAGTAATGACAAAATATCAAGACACATAAAGAATATGGTCAGCATTGTGGCAATGACAAAATAAGTAAATAAAAAGCATACAGAAACAAAGTTAACTACATTGTACAAGTCCAAATAGTAACTCAATGGCAGAGAAAGACTCTGAACCCAACTCCTCCTCTTCCACCACCACTCTCTCACACACAAGCCTACCCACCCCCCGCACACAGACAAACAGACACACACACACTCTCTCTCTCTCTCTCTCAGCACCTCCTATAGACCAAACACTATGCTAAAGAGTACATATACCTTAGCTTTCTAAAAAACAAACGAACAAAATGCTTCAAGGCTTAGCTTTCTAAAAAAAACAAAAACAAACAAAACAAAAAAGTACATATACAACAGCAGACAAGACATGCCCTCACCAAAGTCTACAGTTCAACACTTTTCTGCATGAAGTAATACATGGGAGAAGAGGAAAGAGGACACTGGGCTACAGGAAGCAGCAGAAGATAAAGCATGAGAAATAACAGGTCAATGGGAACAGACCCCTGGCAAAGGCCGAGAAGGACAGGGTAAAGAAAGGCAGGCGCCCAGAGTAAAGGAAGAAACAGGAAGAAACTTCCCTGAGGGCATGTCTTGCTTGTCATTCTGTTCGCAGTAACTTAATTCTCTGCCAAAAAGTTAAGAGCTAAAAGTTGATTTTCATCATTGGAAAGACGCTTCTTCTTTCAGTTGACAGTCCTTGGTACTCTGACTACCAAAGTATATGTGTATTTTTTACTGTGAGTAAATGCTTTGGAGACGCCTTGAACACTGTAAATTTCATTCTCAAAAATATTACTCCTCAGAGTAAATAGGTAACTCTATAATTTGTTGTGCAAAGGGGGACAAGCACAAGTAAAAGGGGGTACTGTTCATAATGACACAGAGGCAGCAGGTGTAAACTGGGACTCTCTTGGCCAACTGAGATGGATAACAATAAACTCACTTTTTCTGCTAGACCCCATTGAAGCAGATCATTCAGCTGACAGGACAGGAAAGGTCAAATACTACCCCAGGAAGGTGTTTTCCTGTGCTCTCCTCAAACTCTCACTGAGATCAAATGGTAGAGTTTTCAATGGTTTCCTCAAGACAGAGTCCCACAACATTTTTATGGCAACCCTCAAGCCTCTGTGTGCAACCTCAGAGGCCCTGCGTAAGCAAGAGGGGCTTACGCAGGCACTGCTGGTTTGTAATGCAGGCTTATTTTCATCTAAAGCTATTTAATTTGGTCTAACACTGTCAGACCAAAACATTTGAAAACTAAAAAACTATTTGGAATAGGCATTAAAAAATCTCCCGGCCAGGTGTGGTGGCTCACACCTGTAATCCCAACACTTTGGGAGGCTGAGGTGGGTGGACTATGAGGTCAGGAGATAGAGACCGTCCTGGCCAACATGGTGAAACCCTATCTCTACTAAAAATGCAAAAATTAGCTGGGCGTGGTGATGCATGCCTATAATCCCAGCTACTTAGGAGGCTGAGGCAGGAGAAATGCTTGAACCCGGGAGGCAGAGGTTACAGTGAGCCAAGATCGCGCCACTACACTCCAGCCTGGCGACAGAGCAAGACTACGTCTCAAAAACAAAATAAAACAAACAAAAAAACAAAAAAACCACCCTCTCCAAAATAGTTTCTCCCAGTCTTTTCCAGCTCCATAAATGACAATTCCATATTCCCTCCCTGTTGTTTGGACCAATTAAGTCCTTGATTCCATTCTCCTTTACATCTTACACCCAATCTGTCAGGAAATCTTGCTAATCCCACCTCCAAGTATATCCAGAATCTGAGCACATTTCTCTCCTATGATTTGTCACATCAGACACATAAATTAAGAACTGAAAATACAGAGATGAATAGAACACCAGACTTACTTGTCATTTTTAATATGTTCATAAAGGCGCTTAAACTGGCGGACTTGGAAGGATAAGATTGCCATCAATACCACAACCATCAGTAAAAATGGATAAATCCGCCGATGGACTAAGTTTTGCATTTCTGCCGTAACACCTAGAAAACCAAAAAAGAAAAACTTTAAAGTGTATGTGAAGTAACATTAACATGAAACATAAACACATCCTTCCCCTGGGAAGAATGGACTGGGGTGGACAAGCTTTCTAAGCCTCAGGTCTGTTGACTTTCTACAATCTGTGTGGGTCATGAGCCCTTTCTGACACCCACCTTTCTCAGTTGTAAAACAAGGAGGCCAGGCATGGTAGCTCAGGCCTCTAATCTCAGCACTTTGGGAGGACAAGGAGGGTGGATCACTTGAGGTCAGGAGTTCTAGACCAACCTGGACAAGATGGTAAAACCCTGTCTCTACCAAAAAATATAGAAATTAGCCAGATGTGGTGGCATTTGCCTATAGTGCCAGCTACTCGGGAGGCTGAGGTGGGAAAATCGCTTGAACCTGGAAGGTGGAGGTTGCAGGGAGCCGAGATCGCACCACTGCATTCCAACCTGGGCAAGAGAGTGAGACCCTGCCTCAAAAAACAAACAAACAAAAAAGGAGCTGGATGAGATTACGTATCAGGTTCCATAAGCAGTGGTGTCATTTATACATTTCAACTGCATCATGGTTTAAAGAGACAAAACCAAAACTGTGCTTATATAATAAAAAATATTCTTAAACTTTTAGAACACATATGTATTTGTTTTTCTGTATTTAACCCAAGAATTTTAATACTTCTTGGCAGAGGGAGGTGGGGACTTTAAAATCAGAGCAAGTATTTCCAAAAAAAAAAAAAAAAAAATCAGAAAATTGATACCCTCAGGTAGATTATTCCAACCACCACAACAGTGTGCTGTGCATAAGCTCTGGAGCTGAGCTTGAATTTGAATGCTGCTCTTACCCCTTAAAAACTAGACTTTGGGGTAAGACTATCAATCTCTAAAAACCTCAATTTCCCATTCCTAAAATAGAGTTGATAAAACATATTTAAAAGCTACCCTAAGAATAACATGGAAGAATTACAAAAAGCATCTAATCAGGGCAAAACAAGTACCAACATTTTTCATTTGCCACTCTTTTTCCCTTCCAAAGACTTTCCAGAGAGGCGCACAATAAATTTTTTTCATTGTTTTTTTTTTTTTTTTTTTTTTGCTATGGCAAATCAACACAACAAAATTTTTAAAAATGAAAACATGAAGGACTGGTTTGGAAATCCAAATTCTTAAGTCAATGTACTATTAATGGGCAGAACATAATATATGCCAGTGAGAATTAGTAAAGAAAATAGGGTATTCCCATTCTAGACAAAACCAGTAAATAGTCCAAATGATTTAATTTTAATAACATATTCAACTAATAAGCAATGGGCTGGGCTTGGTGGCTCGTGCCTGTAATTCCAGCACTTTGGGAGGTCAAGATAGGTGGATCACCTGAGTTGAGAAGTTCAAGACCAGCCCGGGCAATATGGTGAAACCCCGTCTCTACCAAAAATACAAAAATTAGCTGGGCATGGTGCTGCAAGCCTGTAGTTCCAGATACTCAAAAGGCTGAGGCAGGGGAATCATATGAACCCAGGAGGTGGAGGTTGCAGAGAGCCACGACTGCACCACGGTACTCCAGCCTGGGCGACAGAGCGAGATTCCATCTCTCAGAACAAAAAACAAAACAAAAATAATAAGCAACAGGCTCTGAAATATGTTTTGCATGTGTATTTTAATATGGGATTTATAATACTGGGCATAGTCACAATTCAAGCCAAATAAAAGCCTTGAGTTTCTACTTAGAAGGAACCAGGAACCAATGCAGTTTGCACACCGTGGGCCCTCCGATTAACTGTTCCCTGTTTCCCATGCCACCCTGCAGACTGAGGAATACATTGCTTAGTTTCTGTCTATACAAACCTGCATTTAGCAATTTTTTTTTAAAGAGACAGGGTCTTGCTCTGTTGCCTGGGCTAGACTGGAGTGGCACAATCTGTAGCCCTGAACTCCTGGGTTCAAGTGATCCTCCTGCCTAAGCCTCCAGAGCAGCTGAGATTACAGACATGCGCCACCACCCCCAACTAATATATTTAATTTTGTTTTTAGAGACTGGGTCTCACCATGTTGCTCAGGCTGGTCTTGAATTCCTGGCCTCAAGCAACCTCCCACTTCAGCCTCCTAAGTAGCTGGGATTATAGGCACAAGCCTAATATCTTTACTGGCTGAGAAGCAATGAAGCTATTAGAAGCCAAAGCAGTGGCTAAAGGTAAAGAAGGGCAAACACAAAAAAGGGCTTCCTAGGGGCTGGAAAAGTTCTATTTCTTGACCCAGTAAGGTGATATACAATTACACATGTTACACTGCAAAAAAGTTTGGTTGTGTTTTTTTTTTTTTTTAAGCTCTTCTTTCATGGTTAAAGGGAGGAGGGGGGCATTTCTGGCAGATGGGTAAGACAAATCAAAGTGTGGAGACAGGCATGGGAGAAGAGGACATGGTGTGTTTGATAAGAGGCCATTCCACGGCTGTTTAATCAAACCCAGAGTATATGACTTAGAGTGAGAAAAAAGTAAGGTCAAACCGAAGCCCACATCAATGCAAACGAGAAGGCTTGTAAACTATGCCAAAAGGCTGGACTGTATTAAAGGCCACAGAGGGACCAATGAAAAAATGTTCACCAAAGAGGTGCAATGAGATACACTCTTTTGAAAGGTCATTGTGCCCAGTGTGGAGAAGTAATTAGTGTTGGCAGGTTCAAAGCTGGGAAACCAGATAGGAAGGTGTCATAGTTAAGGCAGGAGATGAATGACTCAACAAGTCAGGAGCAAAGGCACCAGAGAGAAGAGACCAGATTGCTCAGGGAAGAATGAGACACTTGGAGACCATATGGACATGGAGGACAGAATAAGGTGACATGGACAGTCTTCAAGGTTTCTGACTTAAACACTGTTGATGATAAAGTTTGTGACTGAGAGATGGAATTCTGGAGAAGAAAAAGATTTGGAAAGAAAAGTCTCTGCTTATAATTTTGAAAATATGCTAGGTTTAAGGAGCTATGAGGATTTTTCAGTACACAATCAACAAGACAGTATATTTCTAAGTATAAACATGCTGCACATTAGCATCTCCTCTTTGAGTCTCCTTTTATGCCCAAGAATATTTTTTTAAAAATTAAATATAATAACACTGTTAATTTTACAAGTATATGATCACAGCACTTCTAGTCAGGAGACAACAACTTGAAGGAAATCTGATCCTGCCTATTTTGTATAGCATGTACATTTCAAATTTTATCACCTGCTGGGGAAAAGAACTGTACCAAAGAGCTTTAAGATCCTCTAATCTTACCCACAGTAGTCACATCTAAGAAAAGTGGTATTTTGAAATCACCATTTTAGCTGGATTCATGTTTACAAATAAAGCATATGAAGTGAGACATCCTTTTTACTGGGGGCGAAAAGAATGTTCAATGTTAATAAAAGTGCCCCTTCAAAGCTCCACAACCAGCATTACATACCTAGTAAAGGAACAACACCAGAAGCTATGACATAAGGTACACACAGGGAAAGCAACAGCACAGAAATCACTGGAGCTGCCAGTTTACGAACAATATAGTGAAGGTCAATGTTCCGGATGCCATTTGCGTAAACCTGAAACATTACAAAAAACAGTTAGAACAAAGATACAAGACAAATTCCTCCAAGTTATTATAGCAATCTCTAATGAATCCACACAACTAAATCTGCCAACCCAAAAAGAGTCAAACTGTTTACTTTTTCTAAAGTCAAGGCAAATTCTGGTATACCAATATAAGCATGGTGTCCACGAGTTTCTAAAGAAATGTATTTATCCACTAACACTTTGCAGTTAGCTCTGTTAAATGATGAAATAAGATACTAATCTAGAATAATTTACACCTACTTGCACTATACAATACCAGATGACATTCAGTGGTATTCACTGAAGACCATGTAACTTGAAGTAACTTCATATATCTTATGTAAAAGATATGTAATATGTAATGTTGTATTATACAATATTGCATTCATTTTTTTCTGAGTATGACAAGAAAACACTGAAGCAGGAAACGTTTCTGAAAAGCTTGCATAAATCAAATCTAAAGGTATTTTATTTAAAAATTTAGTATGAAAGAATTCTACAGTGAATATAAAAAAAAAGAAAGTCCAAGAATTACTAGAATGTTTCCATCATCATATCCAGAAAACTCTACGAGAGTACTGCAGAGGAAAGAATGGATGAAAATGGAAAAACCTTGGGAACAGAAATTTAGATGGCATGCAGACAGAGATGAGGCACAAGAATGCTGTTTAACCTTTTAAAGGCATGTTTCCATTCCCAAAGACACCTAGCTAACCCAAATGCATTTTAATCAATGAAGCAAGGCATCCCAGTGTTCCTCAACCATTCCCAACCATTTTACTTAAATTTATAGAGGCACATACACATGGCAAGAGAAAATAATGAATAAGAAAACAAAATATTTAGAAGATTAATGATATTCCACAGCCTCTAGTATGAATAAACCTCATCTCCACACTCCTTTTACAAGGGCAGAGTTTAACCTGGTGACTCTAGAGTGGACTGGCCTGCATTCTGATCCTGAAGGGATATGCAGCCAGAAGCCACCAATCCATCACACTCCCAGTGGACTTCAGAATTAGCCCATACCCTAGAGACACAAACAAACACACAGCAATCCTCTGGCTCCCCCATCTCCCATCCCTAAGAATCAAAATCTTGAGGTACAGGCTCTTTTTGAATGAATTTTCCTGAGCACACTTGACTTAGAACTATTGTCTTTACTTTTCATACCTCAAAAACAGGTGTACTTTACTGCTGGAGAACTGTAACGTCTTATTTATGCGGCACTGGCCTAAGAATAAAAGGGGTCCCCACAAGTACATTTGCTAGATAACTAAAGTGTAAAGAAGTACCAAAATCTGTTATGTTGGCTGTTTGGGAGAGAAATTTTCCTTAAATGAATTACCATACTTTCTAGTCTTACTATCAGAGTGCTAAAGCACAATCGCCCTTTTCCAAGGTATTGCCACAACAAATTATTTGGCAGTTCTATAATACAGTAATAGTCTTAGGTACTACGTAGCTAGATCAATCCAAAACAGCTCTCCTTTTGTAATCTATTTTTTCCTCTGCTTTTTCTTTTATTACCTCAAGCAATAACCTTCCCCTCACCCTCAATGTACTATAAGAAAGCATCAGTATCAAGCTTCACCAGAAAAAAAGCACATATTATCATTTTGTCTCCACTTATGGACAGAGTTCTAGATACTGTAAGCTACTGGTTAACCTTCAGATAAAGGGTGGCATAAACGTAGTTGATGAAAATCCATGGGAGTATAGAAGACCACAATATGTTACCCTAAAAATATGCCTCTTTGGCACAGGGATTGTTTTGAGCTGAAGGCAACTAAGAAAGAGTAGATGCAGGAAAACTTTTTGTCCACCCTCTATTGCCTAGAAGCACGATATAAATGTATAAAGATAAAAGGAGCCCATCCCACCTCCCTCTACCAGTGAGGACAAAGACTACCCACTGAAGAGAGCTTCAGACCTTTCTGGGCCTCTAGATGGCACCAGAGGAATCTACACTGCCAAGTTTGACAAAGAAGCAGCACCTGCCATTTGAGAAGCAATGAGACTGTTAGAAAGCATTTGCCACCCCTAGAGACTCAAAGTCCTTTTCCTTTATCTTGTCACTTCTCTAAATACTTATTGTTCTTTGTTGAAGATTAGCTGAACTTCAAAGCAACCTCTTTGAAATTACTCACTCCCTGGGTATCTCCACATCTCCATGTATATATGTATATCTATCTCCATGTACATACAGGAAAGGCAAGTAGCTTGAATGCAAAACATTAAAAACAGCACACTGCACATATTTGTCTACAGCTTGTACTTTCCCCCCAACTCAGAAACATGCCTGGGAGCTATCGCTATCAAAACAAATAACTCTACTTCATTTTTCCAACTCCTGCATTGATATTCCACATTTTATTTGGCCATTCTCTAGTGGTGGACATCTGGATCACTTCTCATTTTTTGCCATTATAAAAAACGATGTATTTGCAGAATCAGCCTTGCGCATGCCTCCTGCATACATGCAGTAGATTCTCAGGTCAAACTGCTGAGTCATACATAATATATAAGCATTTTTAAACTTTGATGGTACCAAAGAATTCTCTAAGGTGATGATTTCATATATGACATATGTACATTAATAAATTTTTGTTTTTCTGTTGTTAAGAGTTTTATCACAGGGTTCCATTTTAACTAAAAAAACGAGGGCTGAGGAAAAAATTATTTTCCTCCCCTACAGTGGTAAAACAAAACCACCATCTTTAAAAAGTTATATATGCCCATTAAACAAAAAGTAGAAAATTCAGCAAAGTAGGAAGAAATAAGAGGTATATCCGCCAAACATAAACACATAATTCCAGAATGTCTTTCCTAAAAACTTTTTTGATTTTGCTTACCTGCTCAATTACAGTTTTCAACCACCACTGAGGACCCATCAATGTTATAGCTGCAATGATTTTGGCATGCAGGACTCCAAGTGCCCAGTCCTAGAGCAAAAAAAACCATTTAACAGATTTCTATGGTTTTTTAACAATAAACCCAGCAGATAGGCTGTATAATTTTCTTAAATTATTTCACATCAAAATAGTTCTACAGGATCGAAAACAATTTTACAGAAGACTAACATATACTGAAAACCCAGAGAATATTTTTTCTCCAACAGCTGAAATTCAATGTTTCCATAAAAAATCGTTCTTCCACCTTTTAAAAATCTATGTGGTTTTCCCAAGAATTAGAAAAAAGTCTGGACATTAATGGAGATCTCAAAAAGCAAATAAAATAAATCCCAAGATTTTATTTCAAACTATCTTTAGGTGATTTCACTGGTTTCAACTGAGCTAATTTATGTCAAATTAAGACTGTGGAGCAAAGTTTGGCCATTCTAAAGGCTTACAGATAGCATCTAGCTTGAAGCATTTGTGGTTCTACTGGGGAACTGTTACTAGGTTCCTCCTCATGGTGCAATGAACTGTTGGCCTGCCCACTTTACAACTCGCCACCGCCACCGGGGAGTCAGAGTGAGGACTACCTCCTCCCTCCCCATCACACCCTCTCCCAACCACCAAGTATTTCTTTAAATGCAAATGAGATCATGAATGTAAACTTCCCTGCTTAACAACCCTAAAGTCCTTAGGCAAGGCACACAGAACCCTTTATAACCTGGTCTCTATCTAGCTTATTTTAAAAAAACAAAGAAAGAAACCACATGTGACATTGAGACTTATTCTTACATAAAACCAACATCTTTACATAGAAGACTGGAGTCCTTTGGGAACTACCTTAAATCCTGAACCCTCCCCAGTGATAACTACTATTAGTTTTGGGTACATACCAACCATGATTTTCCCCATTCATTTGTCTGTCATATATATATCTGGGATATAGTCATCTATATCCCATTAAAAAAAAGTATCATTTTTATACAGACTTTGCTCAGACTGTTAATTCTCCTCTTCACCGTCTACTATCTTGAGGCCAATGTTCCCATTTCTTTACTGGTTTGATAGGTTAGTCTTCTAAGGATCTTCTTCAAATGGGGTGAGAGGTTGATACACACACTGAATTCTTGAATACCCTCAAATATCAATCTTCATCCTCGTAAGTGAACAGCTAAATGATTTTTTGTCTGGGTAGAGGAAGCTTGATTTTTGTCCCTTTTATCTCAGCTGTCTACAAATTCTCTAATATCTTATGATTTTCAGTGCTATAGAAAAAAAGTCCAATGACAGTCTCGTTTTTTTTGAAGACTGTATACCCAAATAAGTGTTTTTCTCTTGAATTTAATCTTACCAAATCTGGTGAGCCCTTTCAACCTACGGAATCAGATCTTTCTTCAATTAAGTTAAATTTTCTCCTAGTTTTGTTTCAATGCTGCCTCACATTTGCTCCTTCTGGAACCCCCATTATCAGTACACTGTATCCCAGATGTTTCCTCCAAAACCCTTCTCTTTCTCAATTTCCTCTTCCATTTTGCTTAGTGCTTTGCATTAATAATCCTCAAGGCCTCCAAGCCGAGGCCAGTGGTGACTGTCCACATCTTTTTTCACTACTAGATTTGTCTGAAATCCATGCCATACAGCTCCACAACTGCGTTCTACTTTAGAGCTGCTGTTCATGTATGCGTGCAAACATACTGCACTTGGTGTCCTGTGTGTTTGCTCTTCTCTGTGGAAGCTCATGGCTCTGCAAGCAGTTCTCTGTCAAACTGGCTTCTGTTCTGACTGCTCAGCCTTAACTTCCTTTCTGTGGCTGCTGAGTCTCCTGCATATAAAGAACTTGTTATAATTTCCTCTGCAGCCTCAAAGAGGCTTGGGCCTGGCTGAGAATATTCTAAAGGGCTTCAAAAGCATCTTTTACCTCTTCAGACCTTTAGAATGACCGTCCAAACAGTCTCCTACTGAGGAATATGAAGAAAGCTTCCCTGCTTTTTCTACACCCTTCCTGTCTCATGGGCAGAGAAGATGCAACCCACCAATTCAGCTTTCCCTCGGCCTTTTGGGATTCCAGCAGACAACCAAATGAAATTGTTTACCCAAGGAGGTCCACGATCACTGTGATTCACGCTAAAACCCCAGTGCTTTGCAGTCCTTTCTCGCCAGACAAGACACACCATACTAGCACCTCTGCTAGAATTCCAAGTGAGCCCACTATCTCACAGAGCTGCAGCCACTTGCTGCAGGAAAAACAAGTAGCTTAAATGAATGGAGAAAAAACAAGCTGTTCCTTCAAAATCTTGGGGGTTAAATGCAAAACATTAAGAACAGTACACACAAGTATCTGTCTATAGCTTGCGTTTTCCTCCCACTCAGAAACATGCATGGCAGTTATCGATATCAAAACAAATAAATCTACTTCGTTTTTTCAACTGCTACATTGATAGTACACATTTTATTTGGCCATTCTCTACTGGTAGACATCTGGATCGCTTCTCATTTTTTGCCATTATAAAAAACGATGCATTTGCAGAAACAGCCTTGCTCATGCCTCCTGCATACATGCAGTAGTTTCTGAAACGTCAACTGCTAAGTCATAATATATAAGCGTTTTTAAACTTTGACATTACCGAAGAATTCTCTAAGGTGATGATGATTTCACAGGCAATGCTGAGTACTATAAAGACCACCAAAAATACAAGTATAACTAGAACAAGTTGCATTTATTTCTCATTGCAACAGAGGAGTAACATGCATGGAGAACTTGGGACCCCTCAGTAACAGTGTGCTAGAAAGGGCTTATTATTACAGGATTTCAGCTTGTGTTAGGAATCTGAGGATTTAAGGAATTAGGAATTTGGTCTGTATCAGATGCTATTAGAAAGCAGAGCAATCTGTGAATGGTTATCTTAATAAATAAATCTTATCTAGAAAATGGGGGAGAAGCTAAAACTGTAATTGGTAATGAAGCAGTAGCCAATCATGTTAGCCAGTAAAGGGGAATGTTTGGTCATTTTTGTGGTTTGAATAATGCTCATGTTCTGTGTTCAGACACGATTACAGAGGGCCTTGCTTTTGTCTTCCTCTATCATGATCAGAGTGACGGGGTATGATGTCAGGGCTGCTTTGCCCCTTTTTAGGGCTGCATATTGTATAACATTAAAAGGCAGATAGTATCTGCTTGTCTCATTTGCAGCAACACTATGCTTCATCACTTGACTGGGTTAGGATACTGTACTGTCAGCCTGACCCCTCCGCTAGTTGTGTGTTTACCTTTGAGCCCATCAAGTAATCCATAAGGTGACACTTTGCCACCATGCAAACAACCACTTCTACACTGCAATGATATAACATACCTGCAAATTCTTTTCCCATCATGTGGTAGGGGGTCTATGGCCTCTTCCCTTGAATCTTAGCCAACATTTGTTACTTGCTTATACTCAGTAAAATGTAGTGAACAGTCATGCTATAGGGCTTCTGGCATGGGATCATAAAAGATGATACAGCTTCTTGCTTCTGGGGTCACTCATTCCCCTGTACCTTGAGGTTACTGAGCTATGAAGGAGGAGCTCCATTCAACAGCCCCAGATAAGTATCAACCAACAAGCATCAACTCTCACACTGTTGAGTGATAATACCTCCAAATGATTCCAGCCATAACTGTCAAATCAATCCCAGCCATTGAATCTTCCCAGCTGAGGCCCCAGATATCACAGAGCAGAGACAAACCCATATGCAGTCTTAATATCTGACTCACAGACTATGGACAAAAGTAAAATGAATGTTTTAAGCCATAAAGTTGTGGGGTAACTTGTTACACAGCAACAGCAACTGAAGATCAATCAATCTTTCATCTGTTGGGGCCGACATCCATTAACAATCCTTGTCAGAATCAATTATTTTGTTAGGTATTACAAAATAGTATTTTTCTAATTGTGTTAATCTCTCTACCTTTATTTGCTGGCATTTTTCTGTAAAAACAAGATAGCTCTTTCCTTCAATTACTGATACTATTTGACTACCCTGGAACACGGCTCTTACAGAAAGGCATAACATATGCTTAATTAGGTCCTCCTTAACTTAAAATGATGTTAGGTCCTAATAAACCCATCTTAAATTGAAAACACTGTTAAGTAAAAAATGCATTTAACACATCTAACCTACAGAACATCATAGCTTAGTCCAGACTATCTTAAATATGCTCGGAACACTTACATTAGCCTACATTTGGGCAAAAGCTTCTAACACAAAACCTATTTTATTGTTTGCCTTGTTGTGTAAATGAGGTCTAACAAAGTCTATTTTATAATTACGTAGTGAGTATCTCCTACAATTTACTAAATACTGTACTGAAAGTGAAAAACAGAATAGCTGTATGAGTACTCAAAGTACAGTTTCTACTGAATGTGTTTCACTTTTAACCATCAAAAAGTTAAAAAGTCACAAGTCAAAACAGAAGTCAGGTCTGTACTGCTTTGTGTTACTCATTTCTCACCTATTGTAGTCGATGAGCCAGACAGCCTACACAGGAGGCAGTTTCGCACATATGCATGCCATGTCTTACTCCAGGTCTGCCTGTCGGCGCCCTCGGGGAATATACTTTTTCATTTCCTACCCACTTCTCTGTACGCCACTAGTTAGGCTGGCTTAGATATTATCTCTTACAGAAAACTATACCTGAAACTTCCAAAGCTAGGTTAAATACCTCTCCTACACAATGCCATGGTTCCTTGTGCTTCCTCTAGTTACACCACACAACACCTGTGTACCCGCCTAGCTTTCCCACCAGAGTATAAATTCCTCAGGAAATTCTGCACTAGCCTCATTTTCATCTGGGTGATACAATATAGGATGTGGGTACACATTAAAAGCACTTAAATAAAATTTTCTGGTAAAATGAAGTTTGTGGCATTCTCCAATTGGAAAGCAGAGAAAGGGAAACATGGCTCAAATAATTTCCCTTTTCTGAAAAATCCACTGCAATACACTAAGAGAGAAAAACAAAGCTAAAAAGTCTTTGAATGACTCAAGTCAATGCCTAGCTCTTTCCCCCCAATACCTACTAAGAACTTGAAATCTTAATTCTATAATATTAAAAACCTCAGGCTCTAAATATAATAGAAAAGTTCAATTTCTTTTTCCATGAGCTTTAAGAACTTTGCCATAACTTACATGGTTTCCCTCGGGATGCTCTTAGGTTTTTGTTTGTTTGTCTTAAGACAGGGTCTCACTCTGTCACCCAGGCTGGAGTGCAGTAGCATGATCTCAGCTCACTGCAACCTTGGCCTCCCAGGCATAAGCAATCCTCTCACCTCAGCCTCTTGAGTAGCTGGAACCACAGGCCCACACCACCACCACTGGCTAGTTTTTTGTATTTTTGGTAGAGAAAGGATTTCGCCATGTTGTCCAGGCTAGCCTTGAACTCCTGAGCTCAGGTGATCCACCTGCCTTGGCCTCCCAAAGTGCTAGGATTATAGTTCTGGGTCACCACACTCAGCCAGAATACTCTTTTTAATGAATCTGTGACTTAGTGAGAAAACACGCTATAATAATTCAAAAGTATTAAAGCCTCCAAGTCAAAAGGATTAAGACTCACTCTACCACAAAGGTGAAAAAAAATCAATACCTATTTGCATTTTCAAATATTAGAGAAGCTTAAGTGAATAGTAACAATTTAATCTATAAAGTAAGCTCTTTTAAAGGAGTTATAAGACCTGCATATTTCTGAAACACAAGATCAATTAGACAGCATTAAACAATTTTGTAAGGTTCCTAAAATTAAAAATAAATAGATAGTCTTTCTAAACCAGCTGCTTAAAATCACCTAAAATAATTAAGAATTCTTTTTTTTTCTTTTTTCTTCTTCTTTTTCTGAGACAGGCTCTCACTCTGTCACCCAGACTACAGTACAGTGGCGTGAACATTGCTCACTTCAGCCTCAACCTCCTGGACTCAAGCGACTTTCCCACTTCAGCCTCCCAAGTAGCTGGGACCAGAGGTATGAACCAATTTTTTATAGAGACTAGATCTTGCCATGCTGCCCAGGCTGGTTTCAAACTCCTGGGTGCAAACAATCCTCCCACCTCAGCCTCCCAAAGTGCTAGGATTATAGGTGTGAGCCACATACCTGGCTCAGATTATTTTCTGATCCCAAATCCTTAATAAAATAACATGAGCAAAAGATATACATTTACCTGCCATGGATAAAAAAGAGGAGTCTGATCCAAGGGAACCCTCAGGGGAGCAACAATGACCAGCTCAAACAGGAGCCCCAGAAGGAGAGGGACAACTCCAGCCAACAGCACTGCAACTATCAAAGTCTTCATGATCTATTAGGAAACAGGAGACCATATCATTAAAGAGGGTCTTTCTGACTAAGCCAAATTCTCTTTCCATTTTGAGGTTTAAGACCTGATGCCTAACAGAGCAACTACAGTCATCCCTCAGTATCCACGGGGACTGGTTTTAGGACCCTTGCAGATAACAAAATCTGCAGGTGCTCAAGTCTCTTACACAAAAAGCACACAGGTGGCTGGGCTGTTTTTTCTCACAATCCAATTCTCAGGATTAGGTTTTTGTTTGTCCAAGAAAAGCCACCGACTAGCCAAGGCCCCTGTTTTAACAGTGGCCCACCCATACACAGGCTGATCTGTGAACCTTGAAGTGGACTCGTACCCAGGAAGGGCTCTGCACAATCCTAACGTAATAAAACTGATCAAACTGGATCCCTCAAACAACAGCATGGTCCAGTAGAACTTACTGTACTGAGAGAGAGTGTGTGTGCATGTGTGTGTGGATGCACATGCATGCTCATGCACATGTATTAAAAAAAATACTACTAAGTGATCCAGTAAAAATTTTATATATATATATATACACACTTTAAAAAATACAGATGGGGTTTTGCTTTGTCGCCCAGGCTGGTCTCAAACTCCTGGGCTCAAGCAATCTTCCCACCTCTGCCTCCCGAAGTGCTGGGATTACAGGGATACACCACTGTGTCTGGCCTGTTTTTCTTTTAAACCTCAAATACATCTGAATGCAGGACTTTGAACAAGAATGAACCAGAAAGCCATTATCTTAAAAAAATTTTCCTTCTAATTCAAAAAATCAACTATTGAAACAATATAATAAGGAAATAAATGTGCAAAAAAAAATTTAAGAAGATGATTGGAAAAGTATTCACTATTCCTAACAGACAAGATTAGTCTTTTATTACAAAAACGTACCATGAGAGACCACTCTTTAACCTTCTGGAAGATCACTCTGCGTCCCTGAGGCATCCATGCTACCAGCACTGTTACAGCCCTTATGGTTAGCCAGCAAACATAGAGACCACAAGCAGCTGTGTAGAGCTCATGGATTTTGGCAGTCCCCGTCCAAAATGACATTAACCAACGGCCAGCAAATACTGAAAATAGAAAAGCTGATAAATGAGAATGTGGCTAGGTAAAGAGAATTGTAATCTTCATGTTGTTCTATTAGTATTTTCACATTAGGAAAAAGATACCGCATTCAATATAGCAATGTCTTCATCAAAAAAAAAAAAAAAAAAAAAAAAAAAGACAAAAACCACAATATCTGAAGAGTACACGATTATTTGACGAAATCAACCAAAATAAAGTAAGTTAAATGGAGGCGAATACTCCTGGGAATTGCACTCTGATTTGTCATGCCAATTACTTGTTCTTTTAGGTCTAAAAAAGCTTTTGGGAGAATAGATGTTTTTGCTGTTTTTATCACCAAATGAAACTTTTACGAAAATAATAGGACAAAAGAGTGGAATTTCTTCCTTTTATTTGTGATGTCAATACTTTTAATATTTAGGAACATTGCAAATAATTTAGAGTAACTTTCTTCCAATTGGCTCATGCATCAAGACAGAAAACTATGCTTATTTTGATAAGGAGTGGGCACAATAACATTCTAAAGCACAATAATCAAACAATACTGTATTAATTTTCTTTAAAAAAAAAAAGAGTTATCTACATATACTAGAATGTGAAAAATGGATCTGAGAGCAGTTAAGGGAGTGCCTCATACAAAAAGCTGTTAGGAATAAACTCTACAGTGCCCCACAACAATCACTTGAGTACGATCACTTATATAATTTAGTAACTTACTTTACATTGATTACTTCTCAATAGGCTAGAGAGAACAGCAGGACCCAAATTTCCAGTGTAATTTTTCCTACTGATTGCCTTCCTAATATGGCACTATAATTTTTGTATTCCTAAAAGGAGCTACAGACCTAAATGAGGCGGGAAGATTGCTGGAGCACAATAGTTTAAGGCTGCAGTAAGCTATAATCACACCACTGCCCACCAGACTGGGGAACAAAGCAAGACTCTGTCGAATAACTACATAAATAATCTTAATGATGCTATTAGCTGAAGGCTAGGACAAGCTCATACCTGGTAAAGTAAGGCAGATGAGGCTGGCAATCAGTAATGTTATACACATGAAGACAATCAACAGAAATATCTGCAAGGTAAAACATAAAAGTGCATAAATAGTGAACATATGCTCAATGTATTTTATCAAAGAATCAACATAATCTTCCCATTTAAAAGAAATCGCTTGTATTTGTGTTGCCAGGTTTCCTGCAATTCCACATAAATTTTTTATTTTCAGTAAAATCATCTATGATTTAGGCCAAAATGAAAATAAGTATCCATTCTCACATAATCAGATACATCCCACAAGTAAAAGGCAAATAATATGTTTTAATCAGAGAGCATAAAAATAAAACATTCAGTTTGTTATTAAAATAAAACATTACAAATTAAAAACATTCACCTTTTAATCAAACAACAGCGCTATCCAATTAGAATGTTCTATGATGACAGAAATGTCTAGATCTGCACTGCTGCTCAACGCAATAGCCACTAGGCCACACGTGGCTGCTGAGCATTTGATATGTGATTAGTGTAAATGAGTAATGGAATTTTTAATTTTATTTAATTTTAATTAATTTGAAATGTAAATAGCCATGTAAGCTCGTGCTCCTGTACTAAGAAGTTGGTATGGTGTGGCCGTGTCCCCACCCATATCTCACCTTGAACTGTAATAATCCCCACATGTCAAGGGCAGGGCCAAGTGAAGATAACTGAATTATGGGGCAGTTTCCCCCACACTGCTCTCATGGTAATGAATCAAACTCACCAGATCTGATGGTTTTTATACATGGGAGTCCCCCTGCACAAGCTCTGTTGCCTGCTGCCATGTAAGATGTGACTTTGCTCATCATTCACCTTCAGCCATGACTGTGAGGCCTCCCCAGCCATGTGGATGCTATGAGTCAATTAAACCTCATTGCTTTATAAATTACCCAGTCTCAGGTATTTATTAGCAGTTTGAAAACAGAATAATACAGAAGTGCAAATAAAAAGGGATCACATAGAGGAGGAAACCAGTTTCCCTGACCAGAAAGGCAACAACTGTGGCTTGCCTGCTACCTTACCAGGTTCATCTCCACAAGACCAGAAGGCAGAGCTCTGCTGGGAAGCCTGAAAAGGACAGATGACAAAATCCAGGACTCTGAGGCTCTGTCAGCTCTAACTGCCTGAAAAGTCATTTATTGATTCTGTCTCTAATCTGGCTAGAAAGTAACTCTTGCTCAGAAGGCCTTTTTTGTCTCCGGAGAGGTAAAAGAGCTGAGTAAAGACCACGGGGGAAAAAAAGAAGCTGACTATGAGGTCTGCTATTAAGACAAAGAGATAAAGGAAAAGATGACCTTCATGTTTTCCTCAGGGTTATGCAGCAAAGTCCTCTAGAATAAGTCACCGAATCAGGAACAGAGATATGCCCTTCCAGGGGACAAAGGAGCAGAAGAACAATTCAGTGAGTACAGACACTTGCAGAGATGGTGCTCAAGGCACTCCATTATCTGGTTCCTGCAATCCAAGAGCCTTACCTCCCACCACTCCTCTTGTCCCTCACCTCTTCCATGGTCCCTCATCTCTCCCCTTGTTCCTCACCACTCCTGGACACAGACCTCATCCTCTAAATATATTCAATTAGGCCACGTGCAGTAGCTTACACCTGTAATCCAGCACTTTAGGAGGCTGAGGCAGGTGGATTGCTTGAACTAAGAGTTTGAGAACAGCCTGGGCTACATAGCAAAACCCCTTTTCAACAAAAAATATAAGAATTGGCCAGGTGTAGTGGCATGCACCTGTGGTCCCAGCTAATTGGACAATTCAGGGTAGGAGAATTGCTTGAACCCAGGAGGTCAAGGCTACAGCAAGCCGTTATCTCAACACTGCACCCCAGCCTGGAAAACAAAGCAAGACCCTGTCTCAAAAACAAAACAAAACACCACAACTCCCTTATCTGCAATTTCAAGCCTACCATGTCATGTGCTCTAGACCTGATATATTCCTGGAATCCCCTTCCCACTTCCTTTTTCTTACTCTCTGCCCAGCATCTCAATGTTTAAGACAGTTCAGGCACCACCTATTCCAGAAGATTCCTTTGGGCTCATATTAAGAACAAGTGGTTCTTGATTGAAGGAGTCACAGTACCCACTGTAAACACCCACCATTAGAACCCAAAGCTGTCACTGCTTTTCTCATTTCTCTGAGTAGACTGTAAGCTCTTTCTGAGCAAAGATCACGTATGCTCTCTATATCCTCACAGACATTGAAAATATCAATAAAATATCAAAAAAATATAAAAATTGGCCAGGTGTAGTGGCATGCACCTGTGGTCCCAGCTAACTGGACAATTCAGGGTAGGAGAATCTCAGACACTCAAGACATGTTTGCTGAATGACTGAATGGACATATGTCACTGACAGTAATCTACAAAGGTATAATGACTATTTTTACAAAAAAAAAATGTGAGGGTGAGAGGTTAAATAACCTACCTGTTTTTAAAATGATCTGACTCATAAGCCCATCTCATTATTAAAGGGCATTTAAAAATAACAGACTTGATATAAATGAAGGATGACTTCATTGTAATCATATAGCAGTCATCAGCTTACATTTCTGACAAAATTCTGAGTTGCACAAAGACTGATCACTTGCTAGTTAAAGAACATAGAATAGGTACCTTCTTAATCAGTATTGCCTTCAGTTTCCTCAGCTATAAACATGAAATTATTGCCTATACTTTGCAGTATTTAGATGGAGATTAAATGAGACAACATCAAAATGCCCATTCTAGTTCTGACACATTGTTGCATTGTATCAATAAATAACATTAGTTTCTTATTTACTCTAGAGTCTTTTCCACTTAAATAGGGAGCAAGAGCCCAGGGAATCCCAACTCTGTATCTCTAAAATGTAATAAACTTACCTGATCATTTACATTACAGAATGAGGGTAATAAAATGTGGAACATGTCTACACAGAGGACTGGATATTAACAGCACCAATTCTCAACAGCAATTTGAAAAAAAAAAAAAAAATCTCTATATCTGATTATGTCTGCATAGTACCTACCCTGAGTGGAAAATTTAAAGGTCGGCGGTAAGGCTGAAAGCCAACAGGCCCTCCCTGCTGGAGTATGGCTTGATGGGCTGCATGCAGGCCTTCCCCCACCACAGGAATAGCATTGTTATTTCGAGCATGTTGATTATTGTTGACTTGTTGATTTGCACTGTTCTCATTTTCTTCCTGGTCTCCCAATAAGTAAGAATGAAGATCCCTGTGCAAAAATTACATCAGTAACAAGTCTCATTTCAAGTCAAAATAAAATGGCAGACATGACACTCATTTTCTTCGTATTTACTACTAAGGGTAGAAAATGTACAGTGTAGAATCTGTACACCATATTATTACCACATTTTGGTCTAAATGTTCATACCTGCTTTAAATGAAACCTTTCTAAATTTAACGTTAATTAACTTGTAGAATACCCCATACCCCACAAATTCAACCTATTTTATGTTTTCTTCAGCCAGTATCTGAGAAAAAATCAGTAACTGAAAGAAAAAAGTACAACACATAAAATACTTACAAGTACACTTGTAAGCACAAGGTGTTAAGTACATACTTAGAATGTATAATATTGTTAAGGATCTACAAGAAGAAAAGAAAAATTTCTTCTCTACAGATGACTACTGCAACATGTAGCTACAAGCTATAAATCTGTAAAACCTCCAAGCTATAAATCAGTTAAGACAAAAATGAGACTGGGAGAGAAAGCAGTTAGAGAAGGACAGATCTGTTCGATCAAATATAAGCAAATCTGTACTTCATCTTTAAGATACCTACAAGATGCCAAATATTTTCTGAACAACTTTGAAAGATTCAACTTTTAAATAGAGTACACAAAGCTTGAAAAAAAATAATAAATGCAACATGTTCACTGAAAGACTGAGCAATCAAATCTGAGAAGAACCCACTTACCAGGTTATAAACATTAAATAAAGGTAAGTAGTTGGTTTACATAAAGGCAAATTGGTTTGTTTTCAATGTGCTAAAAAAAAAAAAAAAAAAAAAAAAAAGCTTACTCCATGAAAGCCGTACCAGCAGCAAATCTCTCTAAGAGGACAAAAACAGGCATACATTCTCCATGAAAGGATGGACAATGATAAGCAAAAAAAAAAAATTTATTTAGAAGTATTGTATCACTTGCAGATATTACTAAATTGTCTCTTATTAAAACTAATTTTTCTTGAGTGGGCCATGGAATATACTTTTTCCAGAAAGGTTATTCAGTAATCACAAATGACATGCATGTACAAGGAGTCAGCTGCCCATACTCACAGCAAGTATCCGGCGGTCACGGTCCACGCTCGCACCAGCCCCTTCAGCCACTGTCTTGTGTGTCCCTGTTCAAGTAATGCCGGTAAGACAACCTGAAGCAGAAGCAGCTCGAGAGACAGTTCACTCACTGGAGCATCACTGAAAGAGCCAGGATTTATAATGTGAATTGTATTTTGCATATGACTATATTATATTAAAATATTTAATGGGATTACAACAAAACTCCTTAAGAGTCTAATAAACTTACTGTCTTTATTACCTCTCCTTTCTCTCTCCAACTCAGTGAGGCTTTCCCCGAAAACACCACCAAACACTTCTGATAAGGGTCATTAATGACCTTCATTTTGCTAAACAGATGGTTAGGTCTTGTTTCTCTCCTCATTTGCTCTATCAGTAGCAGGTTACACAAAAGGTCACTCCTTCCTTTTACACTTCATATCCAAACAGCTAAAGAATCCTTTTGACTGTACCAGAACAATATCCTAAACATTTCTCATGGGCTCCACTGCTACCTCCCCTTCATCTCTGCCACCCTCACCCCTCACCAGGATCATTGCATTATCCTCCCAGCTGGCTTCCTGCTTCTGCCCTAGCCACTCCAACCCAGTTTCCTCTCATCACAGCAGTCAGAATGATCCTCTTTAAACCAAAGTTAGATCACTCCTTTGCTCAAAGCTTTCCAAGAGCTCCTCAGCTCACTCAAGTACAAGCCAAAGTGCTTATAATGGTTTGTGGCTCTCTATGAGGTGGCTCTCCATGACCTCTCTGGCTTCAGGGCCAATTACTTTGCCTTACTCCTCCTATTGCACACAAACTGGCCTCCTTGCTGGTCCTCAAACAGACCTGGGAGGCACTGCACCTACTTTCCGCAAGGATATTCCACCTTCAGGGATCCACATGGCTCACTCTCTCATCAACTCCTTCAGGGCTTTCCTCAACTGCCGCATCCTCAGGTCTTTATCACTTACTCTTCCTAAACTGTAACCTCATCCTGCCCACTCTCTATCCCCTTTTCCAACTTTAATTTTCCCTCATAGCACTTACAACCACTTGGCATCACTGTGTATTTCATCTATTTTAATGTCTATCTCCAGCATTAAAATGTAAGCTCTACTAGAGCAGGATTTTTTCTTGATTCTGTTTTGTTCACTGTTACATCCTTAGTACTCTGAAAAGTAACCCGCATATAATGGGCTCTCAATTTTGTTTAATGGATGAATGAACTAAACACCACTATAGCACAAACACTCTGCTAATCTTCTAGGTATATAACTGATCACCACAATGAGTTCTTCCCAACAACATATAAAGCTCAACTTGTGTGTGTTTCCTGGTTCTCATTATGAATGGACCCTCCAAATCCATAAAAATCCTAAGTATAGAAAAATAAAGTTTTATTACAAAAGAGTAACAATTTTAAAAGTCATAAACTGATGCTTCATTTTAAACTACTTACTGGCATTTTTTCTGCCATTTTAAACCATCAGGATATAAATACTTCCCAATTCTAATTTAATAAAATACAAATTTGAGATTTTTACAGTGTGTACAATAAACCTTTTGTTTTTGACCAATCACGTTCCTATGCGAAGCATTAAGATCCAAGTAAGAGGCTAGGCGCAGAGTCTCACACCTGTAATCTCAGCACTTTGGGCTGCTTGAGGCCAGGAATTCAAGACCAGCCTGGTCTTGAATAGTGAGAACCCGTCTCCACACACACAAAAATTTTTAATTTTAAAAAAAGAGAAAAAGACCTAAATAAGACATGATTTCTGCCATCTTGGATAAAACAATAAATACTTGCAAAGTAATGGAACAAACGCTATTAAAAAAATAAATATTGCAACATTGAAGAGAATTTTTTTTTTTTTTGAGATGGAGTTTCGCTCTTGTTGCCTAGGCTGGAGTGCAATGGCACAATCTCGGCTCACTGCCAACTTCTGCCTCTCCAGCTCAAGCAATTCTCCTGCCTGAGCCTCCCGAGTAGCTGGGATTACAGGCATGTGCCCCCCACGTCCAGCCAATTTTGTATTTTTAGTAGAGATGGGGTTTCTCCATGTTGGTCAGGCTGGTCTCAAACTCCCAACTTCAGGTGATCTGCCCACCTCAGCCTCCCAAAGTGCTGGGATTATAGGCATGAGCCACCGCGCCTGGCCTGAAGACAATTTTACATTATGTAATGATGGCACAGTGGCTCATGCCTGCAATCCCAGCACTTTGGGAGGCTGAGGCAGGCAGATGGTTCAAACTCAGAAGTTCAAGACCAGCTTGGGCCACATGGTTAAAACCTGTTCTCCACAAAAAATACAAAAATGAGGCAGGTGTGGTGGCTTGCACCTGTAGTCTCAGCTACTCGGGATGCTGAAGTGGGAGGATCACCTGAGCCCAGGAGATTGAGGCTGCGGTGAGCCTGATCACAACACTGCATTCTAGCCTGGGTGACAAAGCAAGAATCTTTCTCATAGAAAATAAAATAAAATTTAAAAACCTTAATGTGGATTTTAAAAAGAGTATCAAATGCTTGCCAGTCAAATGTGGACAAGAAAGTTACTGTAAACAGAGAGAAAAAGACAAAGAACAGCTAAGTAAATCAGGGGAGCCTCAATGGTAGTATAGCACAATTAAAAGAATTCAAGTCAGTCAATGCTGAGACAAGATATTGAAAAAGCAACGAGATTATGCCAAGCCTTGCATCTCATTCCAAACAGTGTAGACATCACATAGATTACAGAGGAAATGCTGACAACTTTTAAACAAAGGGCTAAAATAAGCAAAGTTTCAGAAAATCTAGAGGCAGAGGTGTTGAGGATGAATGGAGAGCAAGAGGAAGGCCTAAATTAAGTTAGTAAATCAAGCTGAATTAGTAAGAGATCTTAAAAAATTAGAATTGACAATACTTTAAAGACTGATTAGAAGTAAACTTGAAGGTGGGGAGAGATAGCATGGGGAGAAATGCCACATATAGGTGATGGGGAGGAAGGCAGCAAATCACACTGCCATGTGTGTACCTATGCAACAATCTTGCATGTTCTTCACATGTACCCCAAAACCTAAAATGCAATAAAAAAATAATAATAAAAACAAAAGCAAAAACTACAGATTCCACGACAAAGTGGCTTAGGTATTCTCGATATGTAGCGTGGGCGGGGTTGGGGGGGCTAAGGCAGAGAAAAATAGCAAAGCAACATTTGCTTTGGAGTTTGAAGAAACTGATGGATCTTGCTTTCAATATGTTAAGGGTGTGAATTCTGAATGTGTTAACAACACCTCTCAATAAATCTGTGTGCTAATTAAAAAAAAAGAACATAGTACATACTACTTGTGTAGCTAACAAACAAGTATATAAACAAATAAAAGAGCAAATATGAAAAAAAAAAAAAAAGAAGTAAACTTGAGGAAGTAATCCAATTTGTCTGCAATTGGGATAATGACTGTGGAGATAATGTAAATCCCTAAAGAAAGAGCATATAGGATGAGTGTTAGAGATTAGGTTTCTGGATGACTTAAGTTTTTTTGTTTTTTGGGGTTTTTTTTTTGATGGAGTTTCACTCTTGTAACCCAGGCTGGAGTGCAATGGTGAGATCTCAGCTCACCATAACATCTGCCTCCTGGGTTCATGCAATTCCCCTGCTTCAGCCTCCCGAACAGTTGGAATTGCAGGCATGTGCCACCACGTCCAGCTAATTTTTTTTTTGTATTTTTAGCAGATACAGGGTTTCTCCATGTTGGTCAGGCTGGTCTCATACTCCTGACCTCAGGTGATCTGACCACCTTGGCCTCCCAAAGTACTAGGATTATAGGTGTAAGTCATGGCGCCCTGCCTATACCTAGATTTTTAAAGCAAAAAAATATTTTCCATCCACATGCCTTGTACACTATTTTTAATCCATAATTAAATGTGCAACTTTGGCTTCATTCCTTATAATTTGTGTTTCAAAATAAAGAGGATACTACTAATACACTCTCATTAGGTATGGTAAAACATTTCAATGCTGTGCAAATGCATACTTCATGTGCAGGAAACAAGTCTTTCTTTAGAAAATGTAACTACTAATGTTTACATGATCTAGAATAAGGCAAAACTTATGTAAAGTGGAAAAGTTCCCGAAAATTTTTTTTTAATTTAATTTTAAAAACAAAAATAAGGGTAGAATAAGGCAAAATTTAACTGTCAGATGATTTCCAGTATACATAAAAAATGTTTTAAATGTTTACTGTAATCTGAATATCAAATCCCTAACAGAGATAAATTAGTAAAGGTATTCTGACTTTTTAAAACTTACCTGTAGAGCATGACATTATATGGAAGAAAATTTGGCAGCAGACTCTTAATTATACGTATAGGAAGCCAAAGCATCAGGAGGACAATGGAGCCAAAGACAATCTGCAGAAGGAAACAGGGTATGACACCACCGTAAGAGTCAATCACCATAAGAGTCAATCACTTCTGTGAGAGACAGGCAGACTTCTGAGCATACTCAAGCAATATGCAGTCCAGGCCTGTAATTACTCAAAGACCAAGTGGTTCCCATTCTACACATTATCCTTGAGTTGCTTCGTATAAAAATGTTTTCCTAAGATGGCTGCCCCTCTCCTTTTAAGGACCTACCATCTTGGATACAAATGCTGAAACAGAAGCCACAAAGGATAAGCACCACATGCTACCTAAGGAATGAGCTAGAAACTTAAAATGAAGGAGAAGTGCCTGCAACTTAATAAATCACTTGTAACCAGCTAAAAAATGGCCCCATGTTAATGGCTACAGAAGCTTTCAAAGGACACGATGTTACTTTTAGAATTTTATTTTAGAAAAACTTAGATTTAGTGCCGGGCACGGTGGCTCACATCCGTAATCCCAGCACTCTGGGAGGCTAAGGCAGGTGGATCACAAGGTCAAGAGTTCAAGACCAGCCTGGCCAACATAGTGAAACTCTGTCTCTACTAAAAATACAAAAAAATTAGCTGAGTGTGGTGACGGGCACCTGTAATCCCAGCTACTTGGGAGGCTGAGGAAGGAGAATCGCTTGAACCCAGGCGGCAGAGGTCGCAGTGAGCCAAGATCACACCACTGCACTCTAGCCTGGGCAGCAACAGAGCAAAACTCCATCTAAAAAAGAAAAAAGAAAAAGAAAAACTCAGATTTAACTAGGTAATTTCTTCTTCCAGGTGGGGAAACTTCGACATGTTTCTGTTAAGAGTTTAATTTACAAACCAGTAGGAAGTCTCCATTGCTTGAATGCAATTAAATGTAATTCAGACAACTATAATTTAGCAATCAATCATACCAGTGGTCCCCAACTTTTTTGGCACCAGGGACTGGTTATATAGAAGACAGTTTTTCCATGGGGTTTCAAGATGAAACTGTTCTGTTTCAGATCATCAGGCATTAGATTCTCATAAACAGCACACAACCTGATCCTTCACACTCGCAGTTCCCAACAGGGTTCACAGTCCTGTGAGAATCTAATGCCAAGGCTGATCTGACCTGCTGGCCTGCTACTCACCTCCTGCTGTGTGGCCGTTTCCTAACAGGGCATGGACCAATAGCCAGCCAAAACATGGGGGCTGGGGACCCCTGAATTATACTACTACAGAACAAGAAAGCATCTTCCTTTCAGTAAATTATCTTTTTACTCATTTATATTAACAAAGTAACCAACAGCTATTTGACAACTGAATACTGTAAGCTTAAAGAAATATATTATTCAATATACCCTAGGTGCTCTCTTGAGAAATGGGGGGAGAAAAAAAAAAAAAACACACACACACTAAAGAAAACTACAGGGTAGCACACTTTATTCAAAAAAACAACGGTAACATCTTCTTACCACTGACAAAATAAATCTTCGGAGATGCCTATATATTGGCAAATGGATCATTTCCTGTACTGGATTGAAATCTGGATCATTCAAATTCCTTAGAAACCACAGGACACCAGGTCGAAGTACCTGCAAATACATTTTAAATACTATAAATATTCACCAGTGTCTTCAAATTCTATATATGAGCTGAAACATTAACAGAAAGATAAGCACTTAAAATTATTCTGGTATGTAAAATGGCTCCAGAAAGTGTATATGGTATTCCTAGAAAAAAAAAATTCCTGAACCAGAATCTTTATGAAAACTACCGTGTCTGATGATATCCTTTGACATCATTCACTGAAAAAAAACAGTGTCCAATGTGTCAAGAAATCTAGACCTCTGAGATGAAAAATAAATGAATACAACCATTACTATAGTAAAAGGGTTATGTTGCATTTATAAATATCCTAAATAGAAAATCTGATTTCAGTTTTACACTTCCACAGAGGGATTATTTTTTAAAAACCCTACAGCCTCCGAATCTTCATTTTACTATCTATACCTTCCCCCTGTGAATGAAAATCATCACCCAAGATGTCGTAGGTGATGGGGTCAAGAAGGAGTCTGGGTACTAGTCCTACGTGGTCTAAGCTTACTGAACTATCTTCTGTAACACAGCTAATCTGCCCAAACTTCTGTTCTCCATTATTTATTTATTTTTTTTTTTAAGAGACTGGGTCTCGCTATGTTGCCCAGGCTGGAGTGCAGTGATTATTCACAGGCGCGATCCCACTACTGATCAGCACAGGAGTTTTGACCTGCTCCGCTTTCGACCTGGGCCAGTTCACCCCTCCTTAGTGTTCTCCATCTTCTAAACAAGGGACTTACAATACATTATTTCTAAGGTTCTGCCTAAGTTCCAAATTTTGTATCAACAAAAACAATTACATTGTTAAAATAAAGTAAAAAATTATAAAACATTTTATTCACTTAACGAAGTAATTTGGAACTCACACATAATTTCATTTTTAAGAAACACGTTTCTGCAGTTGCTTTAGTTCTCAATCATTTCTTTTCTTTCTTTCCTTTTTTTTTTTCAATTGACAGGGTCTCGCTATATTGCCCAGGCTGGAGTGCAGAGGCTATTCACCATCGCGATGCCACTACTGATCAGAACAGGAGTTTTGACCTGCTCCGTTTCTGACCTGGGCGGGTTCACCCTCCTTAGGCAACCTGGTGGTCCCCGGCTCCCGGGAGGGCACCATATTGATGCCGAACTTAGTGTGGACACCCAATCGGCATAGTGCACTACAGCCCAGAACTCCTAGGCCCAAGCAATCCTCCCACCTCAGCCTCCCCAGTAGCTGGGACTACAGGCACGTGTCACAGCACCCAGGTCAATCATTTGTTTTAAAGAAAGAGTGAAAGGTTCAGTTACCAAGAGAATTTACTGAACATACTGTATGATTCAAGAGAATGCTTTGGCCCCTGAACCCTCTTCCTCTTCCTCCAATCTTGCAAAGCACAAAGCACACCAAGAGCAGCATTCAGCCTTTATGCTTTTGCGTTCCATTCCCACTGGAATTGTCAATCTGCTCCTCCACACCCTGCACATCTCCATCACCAGTCTGCGTGTAAGCTGACTGTTTCAATACTGTATTCGTTTTCAGGCTGTAACATTGAGGAACTGTGCCTTTGTTTCTCACTGATATCCCAGAAGACAGTATAGTGTCCAGCAAACAGTGAACATTCAGTATTGGGGGAATGACTGAGCTTGAGATGTACACTAATAAAATATTCATCTGCTTTCGTCATCTTCAAATCAGTAGAAACCAGATTCCAAAAATAGGATTAATAAAGGTACCAGGCCAGGTGCAGTGGTTCACACCTGTAATCCCAGTACTTTGGGAGGCTGAAGTGGGCAGATCATTTGAGGTCAGGAGTTCAAGACCAGCCTGGCCAGCATGGTGAAACCCTGTCTCTACTAAAAATACAAAAATTAGCTGGGCGTGGTGGCGGGCACCTGTAGTCCCAGCTACTTGGGAGGCTGAGGCAGGAGAATCGCTTGAACTCAGAAGGCGAGGGTTGCAGTGAGCCGAGATCATGGCACTGCATTCCAGCCTGAGCAACAGAGGAAGACTCAGTATCAAGAATAAATAAATAAATTAAATAAATAAAGGTACCCACCAGGCCAGTGAACTGGAATCATAAAGAACCCTCTATAATTCTATACTTAAGTTACCTAAATCAAAACCATTTTAAACGTTCGATCCTGCAAAGCCATATCCTTTTGGTTACTTCCAGCATTATATTTCCTTGAAGTCTGAGATACATTCACATCATACAAAATTCCAAGAGTCTGTATTAGAGAATGGCTAAAATATATATGAAGTATAATAAAATGAGTACTCTTACTTTTTTCCTCAGTTGAATCATCTTTCCAACTCAGAAAGATTAAAATTTGCCAATTATGAAGACAACTGAAACAGTTTAAAGCAATCAAATCAAAGTCCCCTATAAATTATTCCCTCTCAGAATAAAATACTAGAGAATATGATTTAGTTAGGAAATCATCATAGCCTTTGAGACATGACTGGCAGTAAAAGCAAAAGTCCTTTTTATAAATGTGCAGCATCAGCATTTCTCTGTAGACTTACCTCTCTCAGTAATAGAATGAAGGAGGCAAAGTAGAAGACGTACACCATTCCCACTAGCCAATGCAGAAACATGGTAGTACCTGGAGCAGACTGAAAGCTCAGTTCTCGATCTTTCAGAGTAGCATCAAACATTTCCTGAGCCAAAAGAGGACAGGTAAGAGATGTGTGCCTCCTACATTTGCAAAGTTAACATTTCCATCTTCTAGGTAATAATCAACATGCATGCGAGGAAGGATTTCTGGAAATGCTATTTATTTATGTCATTTCATGGTGTCATAGAACTATATACAAGATTGGCTACTGATTCAGATATAAAGAATGATAAACCAATTGGTAAAAGCTTCATTAATATTGATTCTATTAAAGAACTATTTCTGATGAATGTAAAACCTCCTTTTCTTGGTTACAGGTCTGCATTCTTAAGAAGTTTTAAAAGTAAGGTATAGGAGGGTAAATGTTATCTTAGAACCAAAGGCAGCTTTTCTACACATAAAATATTTTTGAAAAAATCAAGATCTGATGATCCCTAATAGCAATTAAAGAGTATAATCAAGACTGAGCATCTTAGTGAAACCAAATGATGAGAGTGAAATTTATTACTACAAAGATAGTTTCCTTATCAAATTATTCTCTATGTATATAATATCTTAGTATTATCTATAAAAATTTGAGAGCGCAAAGTGGGCAATAAAATTCTCCACTAGTTATTAGAAAGATTTCGGCCAAAATATTCTGACATCAAAAATTTGCACAAAGCCTCAAAACTCAGATACTCTAGAAAAATTAACATTAAGATTCTATACTAATACGCTTGTCAAAAGAATAAGCAAATTATCAAATATTTACTTTCCTTTAAAAAGAACCTACACTGAAGACTTCCTTTTTTGAAGCTTTGAAATTATGCTATTATACAATCATGAATACTCAACTTACCAAGGAACAGATATCCAGCCACCAACCACAAATGAGAGGGAACACTCCAATTTCTACCACCACTAACAAAGAGACCTTAAGTGAAAATAAAGGTCATCAGTATCACCCAAATGTAGGAGAAATTTCCAATCTCAAGTTATAACAGGAATTACCTTAACAACAATATAGCAGACTCCTAGTAAGCGACGAGACCTATGAAATTTCACAAGAGTTGCCAAGCCCTACAGCATTTAGTTAAGGAAAAATTGAGTAAAGGTACAATGAAACAGACAACTACTTAGTTAGTATTTTTTGACAGAATTAATTTATTTCACATTTTGTCTACACTGACCCTTACTGCAAATACCTAAAACTTTCACTAAGAGAACAAGGAGAGAGACAAGTTTCACCATTAATGAAGAGTTCTTTGATACGAATAAGATTACTGAACACTCAAGCTGGTTCATTAAAGGATACATGACAAATAATCAGTGTTATTGCTAGAAGTATATACCCAACTATGGTGGTGATTAGGCCTTCAAAATGAGATGCTTGGACCTGGAAATAAAAAAAAGTAAATAAAATTTAATTTTACCACACGTCCTACACCCCAGTTTTCCCATATTAAACAATCCAAATGAATAAAAGTGAACTGTCTAGACAAATTGTAACTAGAAAACAACTGTAAAATCCCCTTTGAATGACATCTCTGAAAACCAGATTCTCTCACTGTTATATATTGCTAACAAATGAAGAAAAAATAACATTTTACCCAAGGAGACAAAATAAAAGGAGAGTGAATTAAATTTTACAAAAACAAGAGCACTGTAATACATCAGCCTGCCCTTTAGTCTCACTCTAAAGCAGATTTGCTAAAGACTAACCACTGAAGGCAGGAGCGTACTGCTCAAGTCGTCCACCAGCTTGGTAACATCCCAGCCACCTCATTTCCTACCACTAGAAATAACTGTTCAAGCTTCCCTTGCTCTGCAAATCTGTTCCATTCTCAATTTACAGACAGTAAGAATTCTGAGAGTAACAAGGCCTATTGGTATTATTTGGTTCCCAAGTTTTAGATAGCAAGTGGCAATAGCTTGGAAAGTCAAAATTTTTCAAAACACTGATCTGAACCTTTTAAGTTCTTGCATTTGACTGGTGATAATCAGAGGTGTACTAAATATTATAACACTTCAGAATGTGATCTCTCTGGTCTCATAAATACAAACTGAGCAGATGATCCCAGATAGTCAACTCTTCCTTAAAAGACTGAATTATTCTAGGGCCTCAAGAGAAGTAATAATCCTTCCAAAATTTATTTACCTCTGAAAAATAATAATAAAATGTAAAAACTAAAGCACTCTAGAAAACACGATAACCCGTCATTCCAATAGTCTACCCTTTTAAAATTGACTAATATATTGTTACTTCTCTAAATTCAGCAGGGGGCACCTGGGGAAAGGGAAAGAAGAGAACATGCAAGTTCACTGAGATGAATGGAAAATCAGCTTGTGGAAAACTTTCCTACAGTATACCTCAGGCCCACCCAGCTGAATGGATTTTAGAGCACATTTTCATTAGTTAGCAACATGACCACTATCTCTTGAGCCACTGTTATTTTAAAAAAATAAAATAAAATAAGACAGTATTGGCTAACTATTCCCTTGCATAATGCCAACTGAGAAATGAAGTAACTCTTAGAATACTATTTGATTATCTGATTAATATTTGATTAATAAATAATCAACTTTGGGAGTAATGAATGAAAGTAAGGTTGTAAAAGTATTATACTCACGTGTTCTTCAAATCCCAAACCAACAAGGGAGAAATGACCAATATGGTAAGGGCAAAATGCTAAAAGGGGGGGAAAATTCAATAAAAACGTCAACATCAAAACAACGAACACTCCTACTACAATCCCCCACTAAAAGGAATGAGGGCTTCTTGGAGAAATGAAAGATTCCGGAACTAGGCTAAAAATATACTGCCTAGGACATTCTCTGTAACTAGAGAACAACAAAGTTATTAAGGTCTAATAGGGCCAAGCCAAAACAACAAAGAAACCACTGTGAAAACAGGCCAGAGAGGATAATATGAGCAACAAAAATAATAACGACCAAAACTGATGGAAAAACACTGAACATATACAAATCCATGACCTTATGATGCTCAAAAAAGGAAAAGCCCAAAATAATAATAATCACAAAAAGAGAAAAAACAACATCAAAGAAAACACTTTCATGTTTTGGAAGCACTTAGCACACCAATGGGAGTAGTTAATGTACCAATTCCTTATTCTGAAAACTAAAATTAAGGGGGAAAAATATGAGCATCTGTCCTACTTGTCCTGGACAAACAGGTTCGGGTTGACCAAAGAGACCCAAATTGATAAGAATTTCTTCTTCTTTACAGAAAAGCCAGTCAATAAATGTAAAAAAATGACAATTTAAAAATCATCATTTTGCCACCCTTAATGAAGTAAATGATTCTGGCAAGAATCATCAAGAGCTAATAAAAATCATTAAGTGGAAGGTTGATGGAACACTATAAGACATAAAAATATCATTCCCAACAGACTACTTTCTAATGGTAAAGGGAAAAATAAAACCTAAGATTAGAAGCTCAGGTTGATATCACCTGAATCCAGTGATAAAAGTGGACAATCCAACACCATGTACCTCAGCTCCTCACATATCCTATTAATCAGCACAGTGTGACCAGTGAAGAATTTGTCCCAGATGTATCAAACCTGAATCTAGTAAGGCCCTTTGATCTGACTTCAGGTTTAAGAGAAATATGGGAGACAAAGGATAAAGGCAGAGGATATTCAGGAAGTAGATGGACAGAAGGAAGTTAACCTAATCCCAGCAACAAATCAATGGCCAAATAGGGTGGGTTGGGGAAGCAAAGAGAAGAGTACTCTAATTAAAAGACTGACAACTTGGGACTTAACAACTAAAAGTAATATGTGGACCTTATTTGGATCTTCATTAAAATAAACCAATGCAAAATGGTATCTAAACGGACAACCCAGAAATTTTAAATATGATGGATTATTAGGAAATATTAAAGAAATTCTAGTAATTCTGTAAGGTGAAATAACGGCATTATGGCTAAGTATGAAAATCTTCTTAAAATCTTTATTGAGAATTTTTATAGTCTTCTTTTTCCTCAAGTCTTTCTAGCCAAATTTTACTTCATTCTTAATAATAAAATGTAGTTATATTTTCTTTATGGTAGAAATAACTCAACAGCATAATAGATTACTAGGGAAGTGGGGAACTCAATCATGAAGGCAGAAATCAGAGTGAACCTACTAGGGATCTGGCTTCTAACACTTTCTCAGTATTCCATGAGTAATCTTTTTTTTTTTTTTTTTGGAGACAGTGTCTCACTCTTGTCACCCAGGCTGAAGTGCAGTGGTACGATCTTGGATCACTACAACCTCTATCTACTTCCTGGGTTCAAGAAATTCTCTGCCTCAGCCTCCGAAGTAGCTGGGGTTACCGGCACCCGCCACCATGCCCGGCTAATATTTTGTATTTTTAGTAGAGACGGGGTTTCACCATCTTGGCTGGTCTTGAACTCCTGACCTTGTGATCCACCCACCTCGGCTGATCCACCCTCCATCCCAAAGTGCTGGGATTACAAGCATGACCCACTGCACCCGGCTGAATCTTTCTGAACATGTATCCTCAATATGTTTAAATTCATTTACAAATTTTATATATATATATATATTAGTTTACTAACATACTGTGTGTACTACAAAGCATAAGAAATTTTAAAAGGCAAGAAGAAAAAAATTGTATGTTGAATTTTGCCTATTTGTTCTCATATCCCAGTCTGAAGACGACTCAACTAGGCCCCTGGGAGGGCCAAGTTTTAACTCTATTTGCAGCTGTATTAAATAATTATTAACCTTAAACACCAGTTGCAACAATCAATTTCCATCCCATTACACACAAACTAATGGAAAGGCATCCTGAAATTAAGGACAGTTTCTCAAGATCGTCACCTTCTGCAGGAAGACCAGAGCTTGGTCAGATTACATTTCTGCAAAGCATATGACTACAAGAGCCAAAAAACTGCCTGTAGAAAACTTCCAGAAGAGCAACCCATGCAGGAAAAAAACATGAGGGTGTTTAATCCCAATGATTAAAAGAAAAAGTATGTTCCCAATGGAAGAAAACTTATTTTATTTCAAAAGATCCTAACTATGTAACAAAACATAAGTTTACTAAGAAAATTTTTTTTGCAGTATAAGCTCAGGAAGTTATATTAGAAAAAACTTCAGATTTGATTTCTATAAATGAGTTATTTGTATAATTCATGTTTTAAATGTAACCTGTTTCTCCAAACATCAATTTAGCATTAAGCTTTTCTGCAAGAGTAAAGACTTAAATCTATAATTTTTCTCTCAAAAAAATAAAAATAAAGTCAAGATCAAAGTTTCAGTCTATATATGAATTATTTTACCTAATGAAAAATAAACGAAGAATAACATACAGACACCCCCATATGCAAGGAGAACAAAGAATGAGCTTCCTATTAAATTTGCACCTTTGTGAGTGTCTACTAAAAATTAAGAAATCAATGCAGGTTATGCAAAATACTTTGTTAGCAAAATACAAGTAAATTTCCCTTTCTCTTTTACAGATAATATACAGAAATCAATTTTTTTTCTCATCCTCAGTCCAAACATTCAAAGCCCCTTAGACTGCATGGCTTGTTATTAAAGACATCTGCTTTACGGATCACAGTGTAGTCCCCAACAGAGCAAATAACTTGGAATTTGGTGGAAGAAGCCTGGGGAAATCTCTACTCATCCTCTTCAGCAGAGCTGAGGGGTAAGTCACAGGTACTAAGGAAGGAATTGTTCATAGATTATCCCTATATAGAGATATGCCGCCTGAGGTCTCAGACACAAATCATAGGACCCCAAACAATAACCCCATTCTATCAGACTCTACCTCCTCATCCCTAAAAGATACAGAAACTGAACTCTAAGGCCTTGATTTACTCAATTTAGTTTTCCTTACCTCTTCTGGAAAGGAGAGAAACCTCATCAATAGTGTTTCCTCAACCTCACCTTTCTTTCTCCAATACTCCCAATGGGAGGGACTATTGTGTGTTGTCACACAATCTTCACAGCTGCCCTTACTGAAGTATTTGGAAGTGATTTTGCACGTGTTGGAATCTGGTTCTAAGGGGCACTCACATTTGGGAAAGGCTTACTGCCTTCCCACATGTCTACATCCAGCTCTGATAACAGCTCCCAAGTCAAGGTCTCTAGAAGGCCTTGGTCAGGAATTTGACAGATGAAAACAAGATCTTCTGCCATAGGGAAGAGCACACAGACAATCAGCACAAAACTAATTTCAGAAGTAGAAAACCGTATATTCTCAAGTCAGTCTAAAACCAGATTCTACAAAAAAAGACACAAACGCCCAACAGAAGCAGAGACAGGTAGGTAACTGCAGTCACTGCTGCTTGAGAAAGTATCTGTCTGTCTGGGGCCTATCTACAAAGAATTCCTACCTGAAACTATTTTCATATACCACTTAGTATTTATTCCTACGCTAAAAAATAAAAAAATTAAAAATAAACCTATAACAAGGCTCTTAAAAAACTAAATTCCTACTATATCACAAAAAAAGCACAAACACAACTTACCAAAAACAAGAATGAACAGTGTATTTAAAGATACCACCCAGAAGACATGTTCCTAAAGAAAAAAAGCATCAATAACGCATATTGAATTCATATTTAACATATGTTTAACTGGACTACTCCACTTATTTAGCTATAGCCAAATACTAAAATTAGCTAAGACTGAAATTTTCCCTCTATTGTTTTGGGATTTCAATCTACAAATAATATGTAACTTTCATTTTTCATTAGCTCATACAACTAAGCCTAATAAAACTCAAAGTTGAAATATTACATGTAGAAAAAACAAATTCATTTATAAACATTTCCTTTTTAGAAATAATCTACGGCAAATTACACAGATGTTAATAATACTGGATTTCGTTTAAATCAAATGACACTGAAAAATTCCAAATGGAGAAAAATTTGAAAGCCAAATTAATTGTAAACTTCATGTTAATGTCAACTGCAGTGTTTCTTTCAACGTCCACTCTGCTTTCGTGACACCTGCAGGGTCACTACTGCCTGGCTACCTCCCCTTTGGAAAACTCTAGCTTGTTCTCCTCTGGTCTCTCCACTCCCTATGGTGCCCTGACTTTCTTTGTCCTGTCTCACCTGACCATCTGGTCCCCTCTCACAGTTACATATTGTCACGTCTGTGACAGCTATCTGCCTATTCCTTCAGCCATGTTATACACACTTTAACTATGCCCTATGCTGACACTGACCAGACTGCCGAAGTCCATTCATTCATGCCCACAACCTTCCCCAACCATCAAGTTAAAGGATCCTTCCAAAGAGCTTTTGTTTAAAGATTTCTCTGTTCAGGTTCCCTAACCTGTATACAAATCCAATCAGCTAGAAGGGTGATTAGTTTGTAAATGACTACTACATTTCTTCTCACTGTGTTGGCTCAATTTTTCCAACCTCTCTGTCTTCATGGCTCCTAAATTTTCTCTATCCCCAACATTTTTTATGCTTCAATGTCTAAGTTAATCTTCGCTGATAATTTCCTGCTGACGAACTCTGTTCCACTAAGAAACACCTAATCAAGCCCTCTTTTGTGCCCCTCTTGTGTCCTATGCACACTTTCTGTCACTGAGTCTAACACATACCTCCAAAACATTCCTTTTTTATATGTTCACTTCTCTCTACCACACTATAGAGCATCTTTGAAAACAGGGACTCTGTCTCATTCATCACTGAATTCCCCTGTGCCTATCACAATAGCTGGCACACTATACATATTAAATATCTTTTCTGAATGAATTCACCCTGTGAAAGGTTTTTCCAATAACTCACATGGGTTTGAGTCAACACCACTACCTCAATGACTTCTGTCCTTCATTTATGAGGAACTGATGGGGTAAGAAATATAACTCAGTATATGGCCAAATAATGCTTCTATACTGACTGTGATCAAACCATGACTAGACACTCAATAATATCACATTACCACAAAACTGAGGAATTATATCAGATATGCTCCTAAAAATCCACATACTGTTAAATTCAACATCCTCATCTGCAGCCAGCCTGAGGAGAAGGCCAACACTGAGGACAGCAAAGGAGATCCACAGAGGTATCTGGGACTCTGATGACATTGTTGGGACTATAGATCAAGCAACCCTCAAGCCCATTCTTCTGCTGGACTTCCTGTTAAATTAATGTTTCAACCAGTAGGGGTTCTGCTACCTGCAAGAACAAGTTTTCTTTAAAGAACAAGTTCTTTAAAGAGCTGCTCCTCACCTTAGAGTTGCAATCTTTACTAATAAGGCAGAGTTCCTAGGTAAAGACAGGTGGAGTTCAGCAAACAGAAAAACCTAACATCAGCCTGGGGGCTTTCACTGTGAAACTACGCAAAACTGCTTTGCTTCCACCAGTACAGGCAATAAACACTGCAAGATGAAACTTTAAAAGAAGACCAAGTTCTTTTTAACTACCATTAACTCTGGAGTTTATTTTCTTTGCTAAAAATCAAATATTCAGTAATTTTTAAAAAATAGTTATTGCCTATATGCTTTTTCAGTATTTTCAGCACACAAAACATATAATCTTCAACATATAAAGTAAGCAAAAGCCAAAGGGCATCTAGACCTTCACCACATACTATAAATGTGAAGTTTCTGAATCACTAAGATAACTCTGATTCTGTTATTTAAAAAAATTAGTTTTACTTACCAGAAAAACTAGTGATCCATCAAGTCCTAGCATCTAAAATAAACAAAAATGATATGAATTAACTCAAGATGCAATAGAATTTTCTATTCTATGAAAAAACACATTTTCTTTCAATATCTTTAAACATAGTCATCCACTACTTCCCAATACCTCCTATCATTTTCAGAAAATAAAAAAAAAATGAAAATGTTTATGGGAGTTCTATATTTTGGCTTTTATTCAAAATTATATGATTTATAAAGTCTAAAAAAATTTCATCTTTGATTTGTTACTGAAGATATAGAGCTAATCAAGACTTCATAATACAACTGTTATTATTTTGTCAACTGAAGCATGAAAATAGTACTTAAATTTAAATTGTTACTTTGTTTTCAAAAGTCCACAATTTCAGGTAAAACATTTCCTAAATGGAGCAAGGTTTTGTAAGATACAAAAAAAGCCACCAACGTCACAATAGTTTCACCACAAAAAGTATGACTTAACTTTCTCTAGGAATAAAAATTCTAGTAACTTTTCATCAACTGTAACTACAAAATTAGTGTATACATCTAAATATATCAAAGTTTAAAATATATTTTAGGATTAAAACACCAGGATACTTGACAGAAAAAGGTCGTACTCTTTCCCATGTAAGCTCTTCAGCAGCTCGGTCCCATTCTAAAGCATTCCAGTTCATGTCATCTGAAAATATAATTGCAATTTAAAGGTTATTGATGGAACTTGAACTAAAAATAATAATTAATAAAAAATAGTAAAAAGTATTAAAAATAGTAAAATTTAGTATTTTGTAAGCTGTTGTTCGGAAGCTAAGCCACATTTCCACACTGAGTATTTGTTTGTCAGGGAACAAATAAGAATTAAAACATACATATAAATAAATAATACATATAAAAGGTGGTAATCCTAGATTGAGATAAAAGCTAGAAAAGGAATAAATAGGGTTATGTGAAAGAGAGGAATTCAATAGCTCTAAGTCAGGAAAGAATCTGGCAGATTTAAGAAAAGTCAGGAAGCCAGGGCACTAGGACATTCTGAGTGATGATGAGGGTAGTAGACAGACAGAAATCACATCAACAGGAATGTGGAGTCTGGATTTTATTATTTAGTAATATAATGGGAAAATGACTAAAAGATTTAAAGGCAGCAGAGTAATATGAACTATGTGGAGCAAGAATGGAAGGAGAAAGAATAGTTAGGAGCTACTATATTAGATTAAGAGAGAGAAATAATGGCCAGGCCCTAGGGTAGCAGCAGACTGCATTCTTAGAGCCTCTGACCTCTCCTGCAAATGCCCCCTGTTCCCATTACACAAGTCACTTTTTCTCATCCTTCAGAGGTCTCAGCTCAAATATAACATACTCTGAGCTACCTGGCAAACCTTATTTAAAATAGGTCTAGGCAAGGCACAATGGCTCATGCCTGTAATCCTAGCACTTTGAGAGGCCAAGGCAGGAGGATCACTTGAGCCTAGGAGTTCAAGACCAGCCAGGACAACAGGAAGAATTCGTCTTTACAAAAGAAAAAAAAAAAAAAATAGCTGGGCATATTGCACACACCTGTAGTCTGAGCTACTTGGAACTGAGGTGGGAGGGTCGCTTGAGCCCAAAAGGTCAAGGCGATAGTGAGCTGGGTTTGTGCCACTGTACTCCAGCCTGGTGACAAGACCAAAACCTTGTCTCAAAAAAATTAAATAGATCTCTCCCCAACAGCATCCTCAGAGAAACCCACACAACACTTACCAAGACATGTATGTCCTAATTCTTCACTAAACCAGAAACTTTGGGAATGCAGCAGCATTTTGTTTTGTTTTGGTCACAGTTATGAGCTTAGTGTCTAACACTGCCTGACACAAAGAGACACTCAAATATCAGGCATGTCAAGCAGACCCAGAGACAGTGCAAAGCTTGACAGGAAAACTCTGGTGGGAGGGAGGAAAGGAAGTGAGCGACCGACAGCTGACGGGCAGACCCTGTCCTTGACCTTTTATTTTTTGAAGATGGAGTCCTGTTCTGTCACGCAGGCTGGAGTGCAGTGGCAAGATCTCGGCTCCCTGCAATATCCACCTGCTGGGTTCAAGAGATTCTCCTGTCTCAGTCTCCCAAATATCTGGGATTACAGACACGCACCACCACACCCAGAATATTTTTTGTATTTTTAATAGAGATCGGTTTCACCATGTTGGCTGAGCTGGTCTTGAACTCCTGACCTCAGGTGATCCACCTGCTTCCTGTCTTGAATCTCCTTTTACATTCTAGAGTTAACACTGCTAGAACATGAGACATCTGATTTCTTTAGATGGCACCTTGTCTTCAGTATACACTTCAAGATTCTTTTTCAATTTTAAAAGTTGCACTGACTTAAAGGACAAGGAAAGAGATAAGCAAATAAATGAGGTACATCTGTATCAAAGTCCTTTATTTTTAAAAAAAGTAGTACTTAATCCAACTTAAAAAATAACTTCCTCCTACCTATCCTATAAGAAAGTCCTGTGTAAAAAGGATTTTAAAACACAAAACATGCCCTGTTTCATAGGAAAAAAACATATTTATGCATATGTACTTCCATAAATGCCAGTGTGCCAAAATAAAGTAAAAATAAGTTAGAAATAGAATTTCAGAACATTAAAATTTGGAAACGCCAGTTCTTTTCCTCTATGCAAATTGAGAGCAGATTTACAGTGCTGAAGAAACAGGACATATAAGCAGTCATTACCCTGAGCTCCGTTATTAGCATCTGCCGCATCTTCCACACCAGCATCATCTTCCTCCTCATTCTCCTCCTCCTCCTCTTCTGCCTGGTCATCCTGGGCGTCAGGGTTTTCCCCCACCACTGCATTCTCAGCTGGTGGGTTAGCAGGCTGATCAGCAGCAACATTTTCTGCACCATTTCCTCCTGCTGGAGCCTAAAAATCACAGAAAAGTCCAGAAATTCAGATCTACTTGTCTGTTTTCCTGTTTCCAAATTACATTATTCTTACATTTAAAAAAAAAAAAAAATCAGACCGGGTATAGTGGCTCACGCCTGTAATCCCAGCACTTTGGAAGGCTGAGGCAGGCAGACTGCTTGAGCCCAGGAGTTCAAAACCAGCCAGGGCAGCACAGCAAGACCCTGTCTCTATATAAAATTTAAAAGTTAGCCAGGCATGGTGGTTTGTGCCTGTCCCAGCTACTCAGGAGGCTGAGGTAGGAGGATCTCTTGGGCCCGGAGGTTGTGAGGCTGCAGTGAGGTATGCTCATGCCACTGCACTCCAGCCTGAGTGACAGAGCAAGACCCAATCTCAAAAACCCAAAACAAACAAAAAAACTAGAAAACAAATATAAACCCTACTAAATTTTTTTTTAAAAAGAAAATCTTTCAAGGATATCTTTTTTAAATGTATCCAATGTGGGACCAATTTTAGAATATAAGAATATAACCTCGCTTCATGTAAATATTCATTCGGTATAGTTAAGGGATCAACAGTTCACAAAGCATCACAGAAAATGGTTAAGAAATCTAGCTCTCTTAAAAATAACCTTTTAAGAAAACATCTTTTGTGTTTACTGACATCATCAGGGATGAAAATACATTTTTTTAAAAACCCTACACACACACACACACACACACACACATATATATATATATATATATAACTTAATTATCTGTTATCAAACACTTGAGGAAATGTTTTCAAATTTCTGCTCAGTGGGTAAGACTGTGCATATGAACTTTAGTATACCCCCTAATGCTGTTTCCAATCCAGCTAGAAAATTAAGAGGCAAAATCGTAATATCACTTTCTTGATTTTTCACATCTCTCTTAATCTTCACCCAAACCTTTCCACTGCCCTTCTTTGTAATAACAAATGAGTTATGAGGGACATGGAAGTCAAGAGTTTGAGTCTTAGTGAGAGACAATAATTTCCATGACCTACCTAAATACATTTTGGGGTAGGGGAGTTACCTCATTTTGGTGATGTCCCGCAGCATTGAAGGGTGGAGCAGCATGCTCCAACCAAATTGGTGCTCCCCCATGGACTATCTGCTCTCTCAACCACACCAGGCTGATGAATGCACACAGGGTACATGTCACCACAAAACAACCCTGCAAACAATCTGCCAACAAATTTTCCCTATTAAAAAAAAAAAAGTACATATAATTACTCAAAAGAACACTTAAAATTAAGAAAACAAAGGTAAAAAGTTTTCTTTTACACTGAAGCCTCAAAAAAAAAAAAAAAAAAAAAAAAAAAAAGCCAGAAAAATAAATCATAAGTTTTTGGATGAAAATCTCAAGTTTCTCCAAAAGAATTATTTGTGATGATGTTAAAATTCTAATATGAGAACCTATATATATGTACATACTTGTATTAGATATCTTATTTAGGCATCAAATATCAGAACTATATGGAAATTCGCTATCCATAGCCTATCTTTTGTACGTGGCCTAGAAACAGAAAGGCACAAGCAGAAAAGACAAAAGCAGCCTAACACCTGACAAAAGCCATGTATTAAATTTATCTAATTTACCGAAGGTTAAAAAAACTCTGTCTAACTCTAAGAATTTCTGTATTTTTACACAAGTTTTAAAACTTGATTAGCTGACACCTGAACCCACACAAATTAACAGAATCATCAAATTAGAAAAGAGAAGCATCCCCAGAAAAACCTAATGACAACATTAAATAATGAAGGCTGAGAAATATTCAGTATGCCATGTGTAAGACAAAGAGGTCTATTATAAATTTTATAGAATTTTGTCACACTTGGCCAGGCGTGGTGGCTCACACCTGTAATCCCAGCACTTTGGGAGGCCAAGGCAGGCAGATCACTTGAGGTCATAAGTTTGAGACGAGCCTGGCCAACATAGTGAAACTCCATCTCTACTAAAAACATAAAAATTAGCTGGGCATGGTGATATGCGCCTATAATTCCAGCTATTCAAGAGGCGGAGCAGCAAAACTGCTTGAACCCAGGAGGCAGAGGTTGCAGTGAGCTGAGATTGAGCCACTGCACTCCAGCCTGGGTGACAGTGTAAGACTCTATCTCAAAAAGCAGAATCACCTGAACTCAGAAGGCAGAAGTTGCAGTGAGCCAAGATTGAGCCACTGTACTCCAGCCTGGGCAACAGTGAGACTCATCTCAAAAAAAAAAAAAAAAAAAAAAAAATTCACTTAGAAAGCAAATGAAGTTTTGATGCTAACTGCAAATGCACCAAAAGTCTATTAGCTTCTCAACAAATCCAGAAAGGTGAAGTATGTTTCCTTTAGTAATCATACAAGAAAATGCACCAAGTATTGTCATACTGAGGACCATTTTGTCCTTTTCCTCTATTAAGAGGCTTAGCTTTCCTTCCCTAGTCCATGTTTATGATTTCAGAATTATTCAGATAACTCAAAAACCTCTGGAACGTTAGCCCTCGGAAAATCCAGTATTTTAATGGAATCACGTTTTCCCTCCACAGAAAACCACGGGAAGTGTCAATCTGGTAGACCTTGACCCAGCAGCTCCAAACTTTAACTAAATTGGCATGGCCCCTAGGAGAATACTGCCTACAATATGTCCTAAATCAAGAGGAATTCAAAGTACCACCTTACTAAGGAACTCTCCAGGCCATTCAATTCTGAAAGGTTGGGACCAAAATATCCCCTTTACATCTTCCTTGCCATCAGCAATAATACTTTTTATTACAGATATTAACCATTTGGTGACAAACTCTAGAGTCCTTTTCCCTTATTCCTTCAATCTGGGCTGGTTTTGTGAATTCCGGACAAAGGTGATGCTGCCCAAATTCCAGAGCTCAGAATTCTGAGGGCTTGTAAGCTTCCATTCTTGCCCTTTTAGAATGCTGTCCTGAGACTACCATGTAAAGAAGCCCCACCTGCATTCTAGAAGATAAGAGGCCTTAGGAGGAGAACAAAGACATCTCAGACAAACCATCTTAGATCATTAAGTCCCAGTAAAACAGCTCAGTGACTTAGACAAGCCCAATAGATGAAAGGCTCAGCTGAGCCCAGCCCAAACGGCTGACCCCAGAATTATAAGCAAAAAAAATGGTAGTTGTTTTAAGCCACTAAGGTTTGGGACAGTTTGTTTTGCAGCAATAGATTAAGTGATAACAGTGCACCTACAGATGACCTCAATTACTGAGTTACAGAATATATAGCAACTTATAAGACATTAAGGAAATTTAAAGTAAAATTTTGCAGAAAAAAATCTACAGAGAATATAAAATATTATTCAGAAAAAAAGAAAGTTTAGTTACAACTTCTATCAGAAAAACTGGCTCAATTTTCCAAACTGTAAAAAAAAACCAAGACATGTTTATAATTTCTTTCAACTATCCCCACCAGGCCTCCAGTGTTCCTCTGGAGTCAACAGTGGTCTAATGAAAGCAATTCAAGCAACCCTCAAGCCAATCAAGTCAGAGGGAAAAAGAAGCCTGCCAATATAAGGCAAGCAACAATGCTTAATGTCAATTTACAGTAAAGTAACTACAAGCAAGTTTTAGCATTTATATTCTAATAATTATAAAAAAATTTTAAAAATAAACCTGAGTTCAAATGTGTATATTAAAAACACACATTAACTCTTAGCCAAGCACAGTGACTCATGCCTGTAATCCCAGCATTTTGAGAGTCTCAGGCAGGCAGATCACTTGAGGTTAGGAGTTTAAGACCAGCCTGGCTAACATGGTGAAACCCCATCTCTACTAAAAATATTTAAAAAATAGTCAAACTTGGTGCCACACGCCTGTAATCCCAGCTACTCAGAAGGCTGAACCAGGAGAATCACTTGAAACCAGGAGGCAGAGGCTGCAGTGAACTGAGATTGTGTCACTGCACTCCAGTCTGTGTGACAGAGCCAGACCTTGTCTTAAAATAAATAAAAATATAAAAATTAGCTGGTCATGGTGGCGGGTGCCTGTATTCCCAGGTACTCAGGAGGCTGAAGCAGGAGAATCACTTGAACCCAGGAGGTGTAAGCTGCAGTGAGCAGAGATCACATCTACCCTAGGTAAAACAGAGCAAGATTGTCTTAAAAAAAAAAAAAAAAAAAAAGAACTCTCCTTATATGAACATAAGACAGTAGTTATGTATCTTAAACTGCATGACAGCCTATTTAAAAAGTCATCTCATCATTACAAAACACTCCCATAAAACACGAATATTTTAAAAGAAATGTCATTTACATTTATCAGCTACTTCTACTGCAGCTATAACTGTTAGTATAATAGACATAAATTATTTGCCCTCAAAACAGATAATTTACAAATTATAACAAAAATAAATATGCAAAGAAAAAAGCAAGCATCATCTATACCATGCAATGTTTGTCACACAGGTTCAATACTCACGTTGACAGCATATCTAATGGCAGTGTCAGTAGTGAGCTCACGGAGCCAGTAAACAAGCACTTGTAGATGCGGCCTACCAAAAAAGAGCATGATGGCATACCGTCACAACTCGCATCATGAACTCATAGAGCTGCTCAAGAAAGCACAGGTAAAGTGGAACGCCACAAATGCCATTGAAATAAACGTTTAGTCTTTACAAGCCTGAGTCTCAAAATACTAAATTTTTTTAAAACATGGTCAAGCACAAATAGAGTGACAATGAAGAGTAAATGTTACAGAGTCATGTTTACCACTTAGATTCTCTCTAGGTTTACTTGCTTTTTTTTAATTGAATGAGCTTAGATGTTTGAAAAGAAAAATCTAAACTGAAGATCTCCAAAATTACAATATAACTCATTTTTTAATTCTAGAATTCCAAAATTCATTAAATCTGCTCATGAAAATAAAAGGTTTCCATTTTGGAGGTACAAGTCTTTGAAATTAAGAGAATTTTTCAGTAGAGCATGTACTGCAATGCCATAAATGTCAACCTGACAATCAATATTTTAAAAGCACAGATTGACAGGTCCTCTAAAATACAGAATATATTATTCTAAATTCTGGCCATTTAGGGAAAGACAAAGTATGGGTAAATGTACTGCTATTCCCTTACCATCTTTGTCAGAAAAGGCAGAAAATCTTTTAGTCAGAAAGGCAGAATTCTAGACAGAATGAGGTAACAGACCACAGATTTGAAAATGGGGCACAAGAATAAAAACCTCAGGCTTTCCTGCAAACCAGTATTTGTTTATTACCTTAAGCATTCCCTATAAAACCTTGTTAACAGAAATTTTCAGTGACTTAAATGGCGTTTTCAAAACCAAGTCAAAATGGAAAGGTAAGAAAAGATTTTCTGTAATAAAAATTACTTACATATGTTTATAAAATACACAAGTATGCTTTTAACAATGTAAAACTGACATAAACCAAATGTTTAGATAGGTGAATGAGTTCACATGCAGTAGTCCCTAATACAGTGCTGTGCATCATTAAAAAAAGACAGCAGAACACGCACTTAAAATGGAAAGACAGCCAGGGTACAATGGTAAGGTAAAGAGAAAAGTTCTAGAATACGTATCGTGTGATGTAATTTAAATTACACATGTGTATCTGAATATAAACAAGTTAGAACAGAAATCAAGCTTGTGATTAATAACTGTGTTAAATCTTTCAAGACTTTACTTTTGCCTATTTGATCTACTGATTTCAGAGAGGCACATTAGTCTTCCACTATGGCTGTGAGTGCTTTACATATTTCAAGGCCCAGTTTTCTAGTATATAAAAGCTCTTTAATTCTATTTTCTTAATGGAGTATGCCTTTTATTAATATGAAATATAATGCTTTGCCCCATTTAATGCATTTGAATGATATCTGACTGATTAAAATTGCTCTGGCTTTTTGTTAGCCATTTGCTAACAAAATTATTTTTCCATCTCTTTAGTATTAACCTGTGCTGCTTTGTATATTCTCTTGTAGTGCAAGTTTTATACTACACATTTATGGAGCTCTCTCTTGTAATAGAGAACTCTAAACCCTTATAATTACAGATATATTTATCTATTTCCCTACTTCCTTCCTCTGCCTTCCCTTACTTTTTTTCCTGCCTTTGTTTGAAATTTCCAAATTTTATTTGCTGTTTCCCACTCCCAGTTCCCAGGATGAAAAACTGATCATCCTATTTCTATTCTTCTAGCAGTTGCCCTTGAGTTTTCTTATGTCTTTATAAAAGCACATTTCTACATAAATCTTAAGTGTACAGATGGGTGAATTTTTAAAATATGTATATCCTGGGTAACTACCACCCAAATCAAGATGTTCCATACTTCCAGCTCCCCAGAAGGCTCTCTCAAGCTCCTTCCGAGGCAACAGCCCCTGCAAAAGGTAATCACTATTCAGACCTCTATCACTATAGATGAATTTACCCTGTTTTAAAATTTCACATACATTCAATCATACAATTTTATGCCTGGCTTGTTTTTGTCAAAGAAGCAAAATTAATCTATGTTATTTCAAGTCACTATAGTCAGTTCTTTTTTCACTGCTATGTAGTATTCCATTGTATGAATAAACCACAACGCACCCATTCTACTATTAACAGGCATTTGACTGATTCTAGTTTTTAAGTACTATTAGTAAAGCTGCTGTGGTCATTCTTATATATACGTCCTTTAGTGAACATAAAGTTCTTCTTCTGTTAGTTATATTCCCAAGAATGGAACTGCTAGATCGTAAAGTATCTGCAATATTTAGCCTCAGTAGATACTGCCGAACAGTTTTCTGAAAAGTTACAACATATGCACTCCCTCTTGATTACTGTATATGTTTCAGATGCTCCACAGCCTAAGCAACATTTGGCACAGTCTACTCTTTTTATTTCTTGTCACCCTCCCTGTACATTTTTCTAATGATGCTGAGCACTTTTCCATGTGTTTATTGGCTATTGTTGTCCCTTGTCCCTGGAACATTGACTGGGTTTCAGACTCTCCTCAATAATAAAATAAGCAAATGCTCAAATTCCACATTCAGCATTGCATAACCCACAGATAGGAGGGCTTAGTATATTTAGCTATCTTTCCAGAAATACCTGTTCAAACCTTCTGTCCACTGTTTAACTGGGATGTGCTTGCCTTTGTTATTATTTTATATACTCTAGATGTAAGTCCTTTGTTGGATATGTGTACCGCAAATATCTTCTCTCACTCCATGGCTGGGCTTGCCTTTCAAAATTTTTTTTTTTTCATTGCATTTTAGGTTTTGGGGTACATGTGAAGAACATGCAAGATTGTCGCATAGGTACACACATGGCAGTGTGATTTGCTGCCTTCCTTCCCCTTCACCTATATCTAGCATTTCTCCCCCTGCTGTCTCTCCCCAACTCCCCACCCCCCACTGTCCCTCCCCTATTTCCCCCCAACAGACCCCAGTGTGTAGTGCTCCCCTCCCTGTGTCCATGTGCTGTCATTGTTCAACACCCGCCTATGAGTGAGAACATGTGGTGTTCAAAATTTTTTTTTTGAGTGCCAGATTCAATTGCCTTTTATTCTTAAAAGTGTCTAAGGATGAAGAGAAGTTCTTAATTTTAAGTATGTTCAATTTATCAGTATTTTCTTTTATGCTTATTCGCCTATATTTTATTTTAGAAGTTTCTCTTTAACATTCACTCTCAGGCTTTTAATTCATCTCAAATTAATTTCTGTGTTAGGCTGAGGTTGAGGTAATGATATGATTCATTTTTTTCTGTATGGCCATCTGGTTGTTGCTACACCTTGGCCATCTTTTTTCCACTGATCTGTGGTGGCACTTTTGTCGTTAATCATGTAACAACGTAGTTGTGAGTCTAGTTCTGGACTCTGGTTACTCTTGTATTTTTAATGCATAGTTACACTATATTTTTCTACCTACATCTAGGACATCTATAATCTCCCCACAAATGAGAGACAAGACATTTTAAAAGCTTTCATTTCTATCTTCCCCTCAAAATTTCTCCCACGTTAAGATCATCTGGAATTTTAGTTCCAGGCTGTTCCGCAAAACCTATTAATTATTGTAGACTAACAATTGAGCCTTAGCTATGTGAAAGTCGTCTTCTTTGTACCTCACATCCTTCTCTCCTTGCTCATTTAGTAAAGTATATCCTCAAACAGGTTTTTCAAAAAGGTTTAAGGTGGTCAATTTTCCAAACCTGTACATCTATTGAAACGATTGTAGTTTCTCCTTCCATCTGAGAATAATTTGCAGCAAGGGAATTTTAGGTTCAAAAATGTCAAATGTTGAAGATTCCATTGTCTTCTAGCATTGAACATTGCTAATTTTAAGTCTGATGCCACCCTTATTTTCTTTACTTTGTAGGATAATCTGGAAGCATACAATCTCTATACCTCCATCACCAACACTTTACCCAGCTCTGGAAAACTTGAGACTATGCCTAAGTTTGTGAGACTTTTCCTTTACCATGCCAGCATTATCTTTCTATCTAAAAGACACCAATTGTTTCCTCATCTCCACTAGACTAGCCTCCATTTCTCAGCAGGTATTTCTCATACTTGTAACTACTTTGTCCCTCTGAGTTACATCCTGTGAGATTTCCTTGGTACAATTTTCTAGTTAACTCACACTTCAACAGTACCTATATTCTGCCAGTTGGTGTATCTTCCAATAATTTCATTTCCATAGGTCATCAAGCTTATTGTATCATATTATAAGGAGACATGAGGATATTAATTATACCAATTAAAACTCTTGTTTAGCTCTGATGAATCTTTCTATATATTCTGCCACCCATATACTATCTACTTCTCTCCATGTCTATAAAAACAACAAAGAATCCAAGAGTATTGCAGGGTTGATTAGTATACCAATCTCCCAAAGAGCTTCCTATATCTGAAAGATAAGCCTCCTAACTATTTAGGACCATTACATGTGTGAGTACTTTTTAATTTTTATTTTATCTTGATTTTGTTGAGGCAAGTCTCACTCCATCGCCCAGGTCGGAGTGCAGCAGCATGATCTCGGCTCACTGCAACCTCTGCCTCCTGGGTGCAAGTGATTCTTCTGTCTCAGCCTCCCAAGTAGCTGGGATTACAGAGGCATGCCACCACACCCAGCTAATTTTTGTATCTTTAGTAGAGAGGGGGTTTCACCATGTAGGTCAGGCAGGTCTCAAACTCCTGACCTCAAGTGAATCCGCCCCCCTTGGCCTCCCAAAATGCTGGGATTACAGGTATGAGCCACCACACCCAGCCATGTGAGTATTTTTTTAAAGAAGGGTTGCAGAATCCCAAAAGAATTCATCTTTTGCAGTCCTTGAAAGCTCCAGTATACTTCAAATCTAATTATGATTTGATTTTACTTTTTCAATTCTTTGATGAACTTTCATGGTTAGCCTCTCTGTATGCTGTGTTCTTTCCCACATTCATCCAAGAAACTGACCTGTTAAACTCATTCTTAGTTCAGTTGAACATCTTCAAAGTAAGGCTTTCCTAATACATGACATTATGGCATCAAATAACTAAACATCATTCAAATAATAATATGATACAATATTGCTTTATAATATTAAATACTTATGAAATGTTTAAATAACACCAACCAGAGGCATGAATACTTACATGCTGTAAGAGGAACAACTCCCAACCATGCAAAGGCCACAAGTGTATAATGAAACCAGTATCGTATTGCAGTACCAATACTTGTAACCAGTCCAGCAAATATGTCTTGAATTGGAAGCCGTGAAGGCATATCTGGAGAATAAACTATAAGCAGGAAAAAAGTACTTACAATTTCATGAATATTTGAAAACAGCTTAATTCATAAATATAAAATACATTAAACTTCCAATATTTACCTTGTGCTTAATTTTTTTCCTATTTAAAAAAATAAACCAAATAGTTACAATATCACATTTACCCAAGAAGTCATTCATGAGGCAAATCATATCTGAAATGTGGAAATCAACAGAAGGCTCTGAGCAGGAAAACTGTTCAATAGATGTTCACATGCCTTGCTCATAGCCAAGAATCTCATACAAGGCTGATTTATACGTATTTTAACATTCAACCAATATAATCATCTGGTTTCCCAAACTATAAAACATATGTAAAGCAAGCAGGAGCAAAAGATGAAGCTGACAACATGCCATCAAAAAATAACTCCTCCAAATATAAGCATTAAATAGCACTCAAAAAGCATAACAGTCTGCAGCATATCTTCTCAAGTGGGAGCAAACATCCCACTGACACTTGTAAGCCACTTTCCCAATGTTAGCATAATACTTAAAATTTCAAATGATAAATACAGCATCTTCCTACTACTCTGCAAAATGTAGTGGGAAGAGAGAAAAAAACATTCTTTCTTCTGAATCATTCTGGACCATTCAGAAAAAGAAAGATTCTACCACCTTTTAGAAGGATTCCTGTTTAAAATGGCTCAATAAAAAACCATTGCTTATTATTAAAAAGCTCTACAACAGGTAGCTCAGAAAGAACATATAAAAAAAAACATATGGGAAACATACAGGAACATCCAAGAAAAACAAACACCTTTCTCCAATAAGACCAAAACAAGAAATTATGATATACCAGGTTTTAAAAGCAATGATCTAAAATTTATAAGAGCACTATCACAAATGGTTCACTCCATGAACACTGAGAAATAAACAATTAACAATATAGCAACTTCTTTTTTTTTTCTTTTTTTTTTTTTTTTTGAGACAGAGTCTCACTCTGTTGCCCAAGCTGGAGTGCAGTGGTGTGATCTCGGCTTACTGTAACCTCTGCCTCCCAGGTTCAAGTGATTCTCCTGCCTCAGTCTCCCAAGTAGCTGGGGTAACAGGTGCCCGCCACCATGCCTGGTTAATTTCTGTATTTTTAGTAGAGACAGGGTTTCCACCACATTGGCCAGGCCGGTCTCAAACTCCTGACCTCAGGTGATACACCTACCTCGGCCTCCCAAAGTGCTAGGATTACAGGCGTGAGCCACCGTGCTCAGCCACAAATAGCAACTTTTAATAACACATGCCCACAGATCATGGACTTCAACAGGATATCTAGTATATAAGAACAAGTCATTAAAACCAGTAATAATAGAGGTTTTTTGAGAAAGATAAAACAGAATATAACTATTAAATACCCAAGTGAATATTCCTAGCAACAGAACTTCATGAAGATATTCAACTATTTAGTCTTAGTCTCCTATAAACTTTGACAAGCTGTATGGCTTTTATGTACTACAGAAAATTAATGACTACAAAATAACAGAATTGGCTTTTTTTATGATGATGAATATACAGCTCCAAAAGTGAAAATGTAGTAACTTTAATCATTTATACTCATCAAATAAAAATAAAGTAAAACACTACTTTACAGCATTTATATTGAGAAGCTCAAGATGCTTTAAAACACACACACACACACACACACACACACACACACAAACTAAAACATGAAAAATCCTTTGTAAGGGAAGACAATATAGGGGGTCCCAGAATAAAAAATTATGCTTCAAATTTTTAATAATTTACTAGCACAATCCTCTACTTATTTAAGATGAACCATATTAAATATTAATAGCCACAGGAATTACAGTTAAAATCTTAAAGGGTGCAAAATATTTTATGAAGGCTTGTGGTTATTGACCTTAAAAAGTTTGTCTCACAAAAAAACTGTAATTTTTCAAAACTCTGTTTGGCCAGGCAATGTGGCTCACGACTGTAATCCCAACACTTTGGGAGGCTGTGACAGGAGAACTGCTTAAGGCCAGGAGTTCAAGACCAACTTGGCAATATAGTGAGATCCCTCTCTATTTTTAATTCATTATTTTTTTAAAAAAGCTTTGTCTTTATGACTATTATCCTAATCTACACAAGCTTAACTCAAAACATAGTCCAAGGCCGGGCACAGTGGCTCAAGCCTGTAATCCCAGCACTTTGGGAGGCCAAAGCGGTGGATCACAAGGTCAAGAGATCAAGACCATCCTGGTCAACATGGTGAAACCCCATCTCTACTAAAAATACAAAAAATTAGCTGGGCATGGTGGCACATGCCTGTAATCCCAGCTACTCAGGAGGCTGATGCAGGAGAATTGCCTGAACCCAGGAGGCGGAGACTGTGGTGAGCCAAGATCACATCATTGCACTCCAGCCTGGATAACACAGAGCGAAACTCAAAACATAGTCCAAATTTGAAGATAACTGAATATCTGATGAAATCAAGGCATCACTGAATTTTTCTAGGTGGATAATGGTATTCTAGTTATGTTTTTTAAAAAGAACCCTTACCTTTTAGAGATACATACTGAAATATGTACAGATGAAATTATAAATGTTAGAATTATTTTTAAAAAGAATGGAGAAAAAAAGGCCAGGCGTGGTGGCTCACGCCTGTAATCCCAGCACTTTGGGAGGCTGAGGCAGGCGGATCATGAGGTCAAGAGATCGAGACCATCCTGGCCAACATGATGAAACCCCGACTCTTCTAAAACATACAAAAATTAGCTGGGCGTGGTGGCATGCGCCTATAGTCCCAGCTACTAGAGAGGCTGAGGCAGGAGAATTGCTTGAACCCAGGAGGCAGAGACTGCAGTGAGCTGAGGTTGCGCCACTGTACTCCAGCCTGGCACCTGGCGACAAAGCAAGACTCTGTCTCAAAAAAAAAAAAAAAAAAAGGAGAAAATAATAAAAGAATAAAAAGGCAGAGAACAAGAGCATATGTAAAACAAGACAAGCCATGAGTTGAAACTAAGTGATGGGTACATGTGGACTTGCCAGATTTTTTATGTGTTTGAACTTGTCTACAATTAAAAGGAAAAAAAATTTAAAGACAAAAAAAACCCACCCAGCAAATTAAATCTCAAACATATGTGTGTGTTGAAAGGGAGCATACAGTTTTTAAAAATATTTTCCTAAATAAAATAGCAATACTTCCTATTACTATCAAAGATAATCAAGCTGAAAATAGTTATTTTAAAAATGCTTAAGCACTTTTATTCCCTCTTCCTCTGTCAACTGATCGTATTAAACAACTTTATGCTACCCATAATAACCAAAAAAATGCAGTTAAAATGTCTTAAGAACTTACTTGGTGTAAAAGCAAATCTGTGCTTGCATAATTCACAGTATTCTTTTCGACTGTGTTTCAGCCACTGAACTAAGCTGTAATTATAAACAGATTCATAAGTACAGTGTTTACAACAAAGAAGCATTAGTTTTGCTGAAAACATTGTTTTTATTAAAAATTTATATATCATAGTTTTTATAGTTTCAAAAACGTCAAATTTAGAATATTCTTAACTTTTTTTAACTGCTTTCTAAGAATAAAAACTACAACAGCTAGAGAGAAAAGAAACACATTTTTCTACCATTAAAAGAGGTCAATTAATCAAAATTAATTTCTTCAAAGCAAAATGAATATGAAAGAATCTCCAAGCATCAACATCAGTTCTAATCCTGGTCTGATAATACCGGTACCTGGTAGCTAGGTCTGAATCCTGGTTCTGCCATTAACTGGCTGGCTATGAGGCCCAGGACAAGTTATCTAACCTTCCTATGCTTCAGTTTCTTCATTTGCATAATAACAATAATCCACACCTCACAGTTTTTTCTTATAAGGATTAAATGAGTTGAGATATATAAAACACTCAGAACAGTTCTTGGCACAAAGTACTTCATAAATGTAAGTTATTATTATGCCGAGTCAAACTAGAAAACCGTAACACTTTCGGAGGACAAAATAAGCTCTCCATTGTAGAAATAAACAAAAGGGTAATCATGTGTACCCAGAATGCAATACACCAAAATAACAGCCATGGTATTAAGAATTACTGGATAATTTCTTCTTCAAATTTTTGAATTTTTACCAAAAAAAAAAGAGTTTTTTAGTTTCCTGTGCTCAGGAAAATCCAATAAAAAATTTAAAAAATAATTACAGAGAAACGTCATCGAAATGATCCCTGTTATCATATACAGGACAAAACTGAAGCTCAGACTTACACAATTTTCTAAAAGTATGACTTACCATTCTTGATGGATAAACTTAATACTGCCAGTACATACACAAGGATGATAAAGCGGTTTCTCAGGTGTTCCTTCCGACCGACACACTCTACATATGTCTGTCAATGAAAGAAGAAAATGGAATTTTCCTTTGGTTATAACTTTAAGAGAAAAAAAAACAACAGATAACCATAAGCCAAAATATTGTACACTAAAGCAAGAATCTATCACTTGGCAAAACATTAATAGCATGGAGAACTAAAAGTTGTGATTAAGTTGCTATTCAAGTATATATTTAAAACTAAAAAATTTCCTAAATAATGCATTAAAAGATGAGCTGTTCCCTTTGTATGACAGCTTTTAAATAAATCAAAGTTGAAAATAACAGGAACACATGGCTTTATTTAAAACTATACTCTCCCACAACAAATAACAGAAATAGGTAAAATCAGGTCACCATTAGCATCCTAACAGTTTTAAACTCCAGTCTTAACAATTTAACAGTTCAAAGTCCTAACAGTTTAAACTCCACAAAACACATTTGAGGACTCAACATAATAACAGCAGTTAGACTACATGCCTTTCATGTCACCTCACCGCACAACAGTGTGAGATAGACAGACAGACAGACAGACACACACACACACACACACACACACACACACACACACACACACTCAATCACTCTCTTTTAAGAACTGGTGGGGAAGGGGATGCTCCAAAACCAAAAAAGCACCAAGCCAGAGAGATGAGCTGGAGGCCACCTTAAGCAAGAGACAGGAGTCTAGTGCTGAGAGGTCTGAGGACTGCAGTCCACCCCTCTCACCCAGCACTGCGCAGCTCTAGGAGCACATCTGTCTGTCCTCCTGCCCAGAGTGGCCCCTAAGCAGCACAACCAGCACAACGGCAGAAGAACCGCAATTGATCCTTCGCACTCTCACTCTAAAGCTCCTATGTGGATCCACTTAGTGAACCCTAGTTATAACGTTTATTTTAGACCGTTCTCAGCTATCCATCAGGGCCAGGCGCTAATCTCTAGTGGCCAATGGGAGGGACAATGGGCAGAGGCTTAATGCACGCTTTTGGCCTGCTCTCTTACAGGCAATTCTTCCTTAATGGGGAATTACTACAATCCCAATCCCCATCACTAATGGACTTAACGGGTCTCTGGCACCCATCGGATTCCAGTGAGCACATGCTGAGAGCAGTGTGGTGCATGGTTCCAGGCATTTAAGAGCAACACAGGCCTGTGGCTACTCTTCCACACGTGGGAGTGCACACCTTTTCTATACTGGTGGAGAGATCTGTCTGGTTATTCAATAACCAAGGAGACTACTGGTGTACTAACCAGTTGGGTGATTCTGAGCCTAAATGCTCAATCTCAGATGGCTAAATGCCACTTGCCTAAATTGAGGAATGCCCAACACTCACCTAACTGGTTAGCATGCTAGTCTCCCTGGTTATCGATGAACCATCAGTAGAATCTCTTCATCAAGTAGAAAAGTCATGCACCTCCACTCCATGAACAACTAATTAATCAATCCGTCTGTGCCGGAAGCAGGTAAGGTTGTTCATCTTGAGTCAAATTAAGCTCTCTACTGCTGCTGCCTTTCAGTTCCAGCTTTGAACACAGACCTTTCCCCTACCACACCCAAAGGGTTCTGGTTTCCTGGAAGTGCCAGTATGGGCAATAATGCAGTGGTCAACATCACCACATTTATGTTTGTAACTACACAGGGCCTGAACCTCTTTAAACTTTCCACTTTCACCTTCATCCTTGGTTAATGAAAACATCCTTTGCAAAAGCTTTCACTCTGCTCAGACTTATTAACGGCCCAAAATTTGAGTCCTAGTGGTGCAATACTAATGCCCCAACTGCCCTGTTTAATCAGCTTCCACAAAGTTCCGACACAAAATAAAACCACACTCCCATTCCATGATTCCCACCAGCAGTATCTAGGCAGCCCATGCTACACTGAACACTAATTTTAAGTGCACACTTTATCGCCAGGGAAACTCAGGGAAGAGCCCATAAGGTACCAAATGGCAAAGAGCATGGACTTTCTTGCAATAGACCCCAGCAGCACCCGAGATCCTAAGATCCAAAAACAAGCTTTTTTTTTTTTTTTTTCAGTGGAGTTTCACTCCTGTTGCCCAGGCGCTGGAGTGCAGTGGCGCCATCTCAGCTCACGGCAACCTCCAACTCCTGGGTTCAAGCCTTTCTCCTGCCACAGCCTCCCAAGTAACTAGGATTACAGGTATGCGCCCCAACACGCACAGCTAATTTTGCATTTTTAGTATAGATGGGTCAGCCTGACCCATCTATACTAAAAATACATGTTGGTCAGGCTGGTCTTGAACTCCTGACCTCAAGTGATCTGACCACCTCGGCCTCCCAAAGTACTGGAATTACCAGCATGAGCCACCGAGCCCAGCCAGAACAAGCATTTTAACTGCCACAGAGTCATCACACCACATTGAAAATGAGATTACTGCGGCTACCAGCACCAGATTTGCCCTGCCATAGATCCTCCTTAAAGGACTTAAAGTAGACTCTTTCCAACTACAAGGCCTTGAAAGAGTCCTATATTGTTTTCATCACTGTCCTCCAGGATTAGGAGTGCGTAATTTGTGCGCCAGCTACCTTCCTTAGATAGGGTATTAATTTATCAGGCTCTCTCTGCAGAACCAAATTGGGTTTCCCTATTACTAAGATTCTTGGTCATGGTGGTCACCTCAGTATGCACCACAACTGCCACCTAAGAGTGACAGGGCCATGGCGGGGCGGGGGCTGGGGGGCTGGAATGTGACTGATCTAGGTTACTAAAAATCACCAGAGTCACTAAAGCCGCAGGTGTGGATCAGCTCTACAATGACCAGTTATTTATGTAGGAGCTGAACCCAGCCCCGATCCAGCCATTCACAACACCGCTGAGGAGTTAGAGACACCTGTGGATTAACTTTTGAGACTGGCATGTGCTACTACTGTAGTATCTACCAGGGAGAGTGGGTGCAAGTGTGGATGTACAGGTGCCAGGCGTAGGGTCTGGGCTCCCTAGCCCACACTCAGATGGTTGTATAAGTAGAAGTAAGGCATAGCAGCCACAACATGGCAAAGGGTGTCCCACCCATGGGACGCTGCCCTCCAGGAATATGACTGGTCGGCCATTGAATATGGCGTGGGATATGGCAAAGATAATCCTATTGGTACACTGCTGCCTGTGAGATGCAAGGACAACAGGTGGCGTGAAATCCATGTGGGTACAGCAATTGGTCATTTGGTGGGCTCATTCCATGATACAGACCACTGTCACCTAGGCAACCTAGTCCTGCACAGCCTGAGAAAGCTGCAGTTGGAAACAAAGCAGGGTCAAATTCCAGGGCACACTCACCCAGAGGAGGCACTGCTTACTCCAAGAGGATGGCCAGCTAGTGAATGGTGGAACAGCACAGGTGGAGTGGGGAGACAGACATGGATCTCCACTTAGGAGAATATAAACACATACATGAATTAGAACACTGATTTTTCAGAAGACCCCTGTCCTTCTGAATGACAAACCAACAAACAAATACCAAGCAAACCCAACAACTCTAAAATTAAGCCCCAGGGGGCTCTGTTTAGCCTAGAGGAGAGAACTGGAATCCCAAGTTTCTCACTCAGAGAATGCAAGGACACAGCTACTATCCTAGTAACACTAAGTTGTTTTTTTTTGTTTTTTTTTTGTTTGTTTGTTTGTTTGTTTTTTGAGACGGAGTTTTGCTCTTGTTACCCAGGCTGGAGTGCAATGGCACGATCTCGGCTCACTGCAACCTCCGCCTCCTGGGTTCAGGCAATTCTCCTGTCTCAGCCTCCTGAGTAGCTGGGATTACAGGCACGCACCACCATACCCAGCTAACTTTTTGTATTTTTAGTAGAGACGGGGTTTCACCCTGTTGACCAGGATGGTCTTGATCTCTTGACCTTGTGATCCACCCGCCTCGGCCTCCCAAAGTGCTGGGATTACAGGCTTGAGCCACCGCGCCCGGCCTATTTTTGTTTTTTTTTTTAAGAGACAGGGTCTTGCTGTGTCGCCCAGACTGGAATTCAGTGGCACCACCATAAATCACCGTAACCTCCAACTCCTGGTCTCAAGTGATCCTCCCATCTCAGCTCCCAAAGCACTGGGATTACAGGTGTGAGCCACCATGCCCATTCCCTAAGACTTCTTTTTCACTTATTGTCTTGCCAGTTTGCAGTGGTTTTTCTAGAGGCTATATAAGACAATAGAATAAATGCAGCTAGAGATGAAAAGACCCAGCTGCTTCTCATTAAAGTAGGTATTCAAGAGATCTGCAAATATAAAACAAATCCACTTTTTCCTCATCAATTCTGGGGGGTCTGGAGTATTACTTTCATGAAAAATAGTATTTATATTAATACATAATGCGTGTTATTTTAAAGCAAATTAATAAATACTTTCAATTGTTCTTTAAGGAGTTTGTCAAGAGGAAGAACAAGTGCATTTATCCATTTGTTACTTTAAGTGGTTTTGACTACATGAAAACAATGACAGGCTAGGTCTCAAGTGGGGAAAAAAATAATCCTAAAGGGAATTCTAACATACCATTATTTCCAAACAGCATGAACAACTCTTTAAAATCTCTCTTGTATCTATTTTCACATATAGTCTATTGTGTAATGCAGTACAAAAAATTATAGGAATGCTGGGAAGATGGCCGCCTAAGAACAGCTCAGGACTTCAGCTCCCAGTGAAAGTGCAGAGGGTGAGTGGACGCCGCATTTCCAGACGAACTCTTATTGCCCACAGACCAGGAGATACCCAGGCAGAGGGGTCGCCAGCATCGCAGTCCCAGCCGGTGCGGCTGTTTTGGCCCCCGCGGGGCTGATTCCGCCCGCGCGGCTGCTGTGACCACGCCCTGTTGCTGCGGTTCTCCGTACAAAAGCCACTGGTCTGGGAGCCCTCTTAGCTGGCGAGCAGAGCCCTGAGACGGCAGAATAGCCCATTCATCTGAAATAGCGAGTCAGGCCAGGAGATTCCTAGGCAAAAAATCCGCCAGGAGCCGGCGCCGCGGTTCGAGCCGACTCCGTGAGTCGCAGCACGGAAGATCCCGGCGCCTT